TTACAAACGTTGATAAGTAATATGAAAGCTAACGCAAATGATAAAAATTCGAATAATTTTAATTTGGGTTTTTACATCAATCCTTAATGGTTTTAACAGCTGTTGCTGACGTGAACGCACGGGTAAACCCGAAATATAAACGTCGATGTCCGCCGACGCGAAAGAATTAATACTTGCAAATAACAGAAAGGGTCACGGTGACAAAAACAATCATGATTATGACGAAATTAACCAGTAAAAAACGCTTTGTAGCCGATTTTCAATGTCTTTATTAATTTTCAAAGGGAGTATCGACCGACGTTGTAGACCTCCTGTTGTGTATAAAAAATATTCGTTATTCGACCATTCGGTATTCGTTAAAATATTCGAACTATTCGATTCAAAAAAAAATATTCGATTTTGCCCACCCCTATCTATGATATGCGAAGGAATTTGCATGCAATAAACAAAGGAATAACTGGCTATATTACCAGGCATTTCATATTCACAGATTACTACGATATATATTTTAGAATAGTAACGCTTTTATTCTTTTATAAGTCGACGTAATCATGAGTTAGTTACGTTAACAGATTTAAATTAATATGGCAAGGCATTTGAAATAGTGGTATCGGTCATGGATTTGAATATTTGGCGCAACACAAAATCATCCTGGTAAAAAGTTCATACTTTCAAATACCAACCATTATTCAAATTATTTGCCAAAAAGCGGGATAAAGTATAAATTATTTTTCCGACCTGGGACAATTTTTTCAAGAGTCTTAAAATACGAATCAAAAATTAATTATATTCAGGCGCTTTACCACACATTTTAAGCCCACAAATGGCCGTTGTATTTTGGAGTAATAATACTTTTATTATTTTGTGAATACGAAAAAACGAATCAGCAATTAATTATATTCGGGCACTTTACCACACATTTTAAGCCCACAAATTGCCGTTGTATTTTGGAGTAATAATACTTTTATTATTTTGTGAATACGAAAATACGAATCAGCAATTAATTATATTCGGGTACTTTACCACACATTTTAAGCCCACAAATTGCCGTTGTATTTTGGAGTAATAATACTTTTATTATTTTGTGAATACGAAAATACGAATCAGCAATTAATTATATTCGGGTACTTTACCACACATTTTAAGCCCACAAATTGCCGTTGTATTTTGGAGTAATAATGTTTTTATTATTTTGTGAATACGAATCAGAAATTAATTATATTCGGGCACCTTGCCACACATTTTAAGTCCACAAATTCCAGTAGATTTCAGAGTAATAATACTTTTATTATTCAGTAAATCCGAAAATAGGAATCAAAAATGAATAATAATCGGGCAGTTCACTACACATTTTATGCTCACAAATTGTCGTCGCAACCATAAGTTACGTTAATAAACAAAACTAAATTAATAACGCATAATAATTTTATATGCTGGTATCGGTCATGGATATGAATAATTTGCACAACAGAAAATCATCCCAGTAAAAAGTCGAAACTTTCAAAGGTGCTCCCGAAGTATGCGAACCAAGATGGCGGACATCGGAACGTAACATGGGTAACAGGTTAGGGTTAGGCGATAATTTTTTTCCAATTTTTCTTATTTTAGTCCTATTATCAGTTCGAAGACTAGCCAAGAGCCTCCCGTAGTATTTATACCTAAAATTATGGCCTAACCCTAACCCAGTACACATATTACATTCCGAGCTCCGCCATCTTGGTTCGCATACTTCGGGAGCCCCCTTTCAAATATCATTATCAAAATTATTTGCCATAAAGCGGGAAAAAGTATTAATTATTTCCTCTAATAAATCGACTTGTTTTCCGACTTGCGACAATTTATTGGGTATCATAAAAATTACGACATTGAATAATCTTCAATTTCTTGACGTAATTGAAATGAATGTGTAAAATCGTTTGAAGATTCCCGCAAAAACAAAAAAAACCGTGTTTACGATGAAAATAGACTATATATTATTCGAAAATCTGCCGAAAATGTATTCGAATATTTGATTCGTTTTGGACAACCCTGTCTACGAACCACAGTCTTCTTTTCTACAATACAACAATAATTTTCGTCCCAGTTCTTTAAAAAGGTTCGCCATTCCTGCTAGACTAACCCATCAAATTGCGTGTTCCCTGACTACTACATGAAACATTAGCGTTTTCTGACCATCAAATGTTTGAGATTGTTTTGTAAAGTTCAAAAACAATTAGGTTGAAAATTTTCAGTTGCAGATTAGTAGTAATTTGACTCCAGTGTAAATGTCGAATATTCAGGGAAGTATTTCACTGGCTTTATTTCGCTAAATGTCCGTACAATTATAGAGACCCTGCTCAGCGCAGAATGTTTTCAAAACATTTCGCCTATAAGTTTTTGAAAGTATAATTTCAATTGAAAATCTAGAAAGGCTTTTCGTATCTTATACTCACCAGAACAAATATTACAATCATTAGATATGAATATTGAACGTATTACTAGCTCAAAATTAATCCCTCATCAAACGCATTTGAACGTGAAATAACTGTGCACGAAACTACGCCAGTTATAAGCACCATTAAATATTAAACAATGCGGATATATATAGCACCAAGGTCTAACCCACCCTATTCCAAACAGCATGAAAAATTCGTCGCAAATGCGTCTTTCCCTGGAATTCAATTGCAACAAAGAACAAGACTTGCGTTACACGTAACACATTAATTTATAAGTTGCTCCTTTGCTATCCAGTAAGACATGGGTTGGATTCTGTACCAAGTAATGGTAATTATGTTCCTCAAGAAGTAAAGCATGCAAGAAGATTCCTAAAAAGTCAAACTAGTCTTCGACATTTTCTTTCTGAAAAACGATAAAATGGATGACTTTGGTGGTTCCCAACATTTTGTGTTGAAATCTTCTATTAGTTGGTTTTTGAACTGTTTATACCAAAATCCCTATGTTTAATTACCTTGCCTTTTGAGTATCTTTTCAGTGTTATACAAAAGTCGCATTTCATTTTTACGCAGTTCAAATAGTTGTCGCGTTTTCATGATATTATTATACAAAAGTGATAATATACAATGTATATTCCTATTCAAAGACTCTCCTCTAGATAGGAATTCACCCAATATCATAAAAATCATTTTATAGCATAATATATCGAACACATCTTTACATCAAAAGGTTATATTCAAATTATAAAACCAATTAACTTCGAAAGAAATTTTGAGAATTGAAATAACGAAACACGGAGAATGAACTCTCAGCAGTGTGATCGTGAATATGCCAAAAATATTTTAAAGCAAAACAGGATTCTTCTACATATATACTTGAGCAATTGAAATATTTGTAATTGAAAAGAATTGTTAATAACAGTATTTGGAATGAAATATCGCAGGGCTTCGGGGTGGCGTAAAAAATTGTAGCGTCTATAATACCAGGGAAAAATTGAAATTTCCATGACGAAAGAGATAAAACATATGACCTCATAAATGATGGCACGATCCAGAATGCTATGCCAGCCAATGCAGACCTCTTGAAATATGCGCAACAAGCTGGCGCACAACCTCAGGTTAGGGTTCAGGTTGTGCGACATCTTGGTGCGCATACTTCGGGAGTACCCAAAACTTGATGAGAGAAACGTAATAATATATCAAACATTAAAAGATTGTATTAAAATTATTAATCAGAAAAATATAAAAAAAATGTTCAAGACTTGATGAGAAAAATGTAATAATATATAAAACATTAAAATTAATCATAAAATAAAGACACGATGAAAAATCGGACAATACCTTTTAAATGAATTTTAAAATGTGAAACACTGATCAGATTAATTCCTTAAATTTGACAATGTTCGTTTCCAAATCTGACACGCATTTCGCCATCCTTAACATGACACCCGTCAACCCACTGCCCTATTTTGCCCTCCCTAATCTGACACGCATCGACCATATTTCATCATCTCTAACCTGACAGGAATCGACCCTATTTCGCCACCCCCAATTTGACACGCTTCGTCCGCATTTCGCCATCCCTAATCTGCCACGCTTCGACCGTATTTTGCCATCCCTAACCTGCCACGCTTCGACCGTATTTCGCCATCCCTAATCTGCCACCACGCTTCGACCGCATTTTGCCATCCCTAATCTGCCACCACGCTTTGACCGCATTTTGCCATCCCTAATCTGCCACCACGCTTCGACCGCATTTTGCCATCCCTAATCTGCCACGCTTCGACCGCATTTCGCCATCCCTAATCTGCCACCACGCTTCGACCACATTTTGCCATCCCTAATCTGCCATCACGCTTCGACCGCATTTTGCCATCCCTAATCTGCCACGCTTCGACCGCATTTCGTCATCCCTAATCTGCCACGCTTCGACCCAATTTCGCCATCCCATTTTGACACTCATCGACTGTGTTTTGCCAAGCCCGAATTTGACAGGTACTAATCCATTTCATCAGCCCCAAATCTAAACACTTTGGCCATATTTCTTTGTAATTTTGAGGCAATTGTTAATTGTTATCTGTATACTAAACAGCGCATTATGACAGTCGATTTGGCAAAAACTGACACCCATCCAGTATGTTCCCCAGCTTTTCTCTTTAGGGGGGGTGTTTCAAAATTTAGGGGGTGTGTTAATAATGTCTTGGTATATGTTAAGTTCTACACCAAGCTTTATAGAATGAGGTTCAAACTGAAACGCTTACACTTCTTTATTACACCAGCATAACACACAACATAAGATGTTTACAGCAACAGGAACATACTAGCGAGTGACGCAACTGCGACACGTTAGCACAAGACAGATAGCACAATCAATTATTAGGGGACGTTTATCGACAAGGCATTATTAGCCATCATCAACATCCCTCTTTGTTTAAGATAAATTTCATAAATTATTTTCAAATTCAGAATAGGAAATATTCACCTTTACCTATTACACAATTCATGACCACTAAATTAAGACACATAAATGAGCAATAATATTTAACACTCAAATTCAAGTTATAGTCACTACTGAGTCACATAGTCTTTCATCCAAATAGGAGGTTTACGATTTCGACGAGGTCTGGTTGGAACATCATTCGAAATCAGAGGTCGAGAATTGTCATTGGCAACCGGGAGGTTGTTCGGCTTATAGTCAGACAAGAATGGAACACTTGGTTCATATTTTTCGATATTACAACTTTCATCAGGACGGATATGAACACGATTTCGTCTGTATGTAACACCATTCTTCGATTTGACAATGTAAGATGTAGCAATTCGTTTCATAATAGTTCCTCTATTCCATCCCTTCTGTTCTGGATGTTGAAAATATACAGCTTCGCCCAACTCAAGTTCTCGCATTGGTCTTGTAGATTTGTCATAACTCTTCTTCACGCTGTGCTTTCGACGCAGGCGTTTCGAGTCGTAGTTTTCGTTTGGTTTCATAACTGTCGGTATAATCGATCTGGTTGATCGACAAAATAGCATCTTTGACGGACTGCTGTCCAAATCTTGACGCGGCGTATTTCTTATTTCTAGAAGAGCTAGAAATTGATCTTCATTCGTGTTGGCAGTCCTTTTCAGCATATTCTTGAAAATTTTCACGGACGATTCAGCTTTTCCATTCGCTTGTTGATGTCCGGGTGAAGAGGTAACATGCTGAATTCTCCAATCTCTCATGAATTTCTCGAATTCCGACGAGTTGAGATTTCTCCCACAATCTGAGATTAACATCTTTGGAATACCATGTCGAGCAAAATGGCGTTTCAGACATATGATGATTTGATTCGTAGTTGTCGTCGTCATCACATCAACTTCAAAGAAACTTGAAAAATAATCAACCGTGATTAGATAATTTTCCCTTTATACTCACATAAATCAATTCCAACTTTTTCCCAAGGAACACTTCCTTCGTTGTGTTGCAATAATGGTTCTTTCTGATTATTTGGTTTCGTCTGCTGACAAGAAAAACAATTGTTAGCAATTTGCTCAATTTCTTTGGACATACCAATCCAAAAGACAGTTTCACGAGCACGGCGCATCATACTTGCATAACCTAAATGAGAAAAATGAAGTTGTTGCTTTATTTCGTTACGCATAGATTTTGGGATCCATATACGTTCACCCTTCAAAATAATATCATCTTGATAACTCAATGTATCTCTTATTGAAAAATATGGTTTTACACAGTCAGGTAAGTCATACTTATGCTCGGGCCATCCATGTTTTATATATCTCAGTAACTTCATCGATTCATCATCTTTCATCATAGCTTGCTTTACATCTTCAATTCTTTCATCTGAAATTTGCTTTAAAGCGTCTACTTTCAAAATATGTGGAAAATGTTTGGAATTTTCGATAAAATTTCTGCTGAGGGTATCAGCAATTAATAAGGATTTTCCAGGCATATATTTGAATTGGATATTATATCTGTTCAATCGCATCATAAGAGTTTGTAAACGTCTGGGCGCTTGACTTAATGGTTTGCTCAAAATTGTTTCAAGAGGTTTATGATCGTTGTGAATTATAACTTTGCGACCATAGGTATATTGATTAAATCGTTCAAGTCCAAATACAACAGATAAAGTTTCTTTTTCAATCTGAGCCCAATTTCTTTCAGATTTTGACAAACCACGGGATGCATATTCGATAGGCTTCTCATTCTGCATTAAAACAGCACCAAGACCATCTTTGCTGCTATCAACTTGTAGAACTAGGTCAAGGTTAGGGTCGTAATAAGCTAATACGGGCGATTTCGTAATTTTACGTTTGACCAATTGAAAAGCTTTCTCACACTTTTCGTCCCATAGCCATTTAACATTCTTTCTAGTAAGATTTCGAATTGGCTCTAGATCACTGGCAAGATTAGGCAAAAATCTGGATAAATATTGAATCATGCCACAAAATCGTTCCACATCACTGACATCTTTTAACGATGACATTTTCACTATGGCCTCTGTCTTAGCAGGATCTGGCTCTATCCCACTAGTTGTAATCTTATGGCCCATAAAAGTTATTTCTTCTTTCATAAATCTTGCTTTGGTATCATTTAATTTAATGTTTTTAGTTCGGCACCTGATTTGGAGATTTCTTGTGTTCTCTCTCAAATCCGCTTCCGCTTCAGATTTCGTGTCTCCACATCCAATTACTATGATGTCATCTGCAATCGTTATAACACCTTTCAATCTGAACAATGCTTCATTTAAACGTTTCTGAAATATTTCGCTGCTCACATTCAAACCAAATGGGAGTCTAGCCCATCTGTAACGAGAAAAAGGTGTGATCATTGTCGTTAACTTACTCGATTCTTCTTCTAATATTACGTGCCAATATGCTTCTTTTACATCAAACTTGGTAAACACTTTTGCATTGCATAGCTTATTCAATACATCATCAAGAACAGGTAATCTGTAGTGTTCTCGTTTCAACGCGGCATTTAAAGGTTGAGGGTCAATACATATTCGAAGCTTTTTATTAGGTTTCTCAGTCACAGCCATTTGACTAACCCAATCGGTAGGTTCATCCACCGGTATTAAGATTCCCCTTTTCACCAGGTTATCTAATTCTGATTTAACTCTATCTTGGAGAGCTATTGGGATATTTCTACAAGGTAAAACTCTAGGTTGAAAATCAGGATCAACTTTTAATTTCGCTATTCCCAAGTTTCCCAAAGTTTGCGGTATGTCAACATTTGCAATAAACTTATCGCTGTTTATTGTAATCAAACCCATTTCTTGTATTGTCATTAACCCCAAAAGACAGTTGAAATTATTCTTGACAACAGTAAATCTTACCTCTGCGACTTCATCATTTCGAGGATTTTTTACCTTTAAAATTGCCTCACCAAGTGGTTTCATTTTCGTTTTATTCCACATCACAAGATTGTCAGTAGTTGGTCTAATTTGGTCTTTCCGCACATATTTCTCGCATATTGTGTTGACATCTGCAGCACTATCAATTTGAAATCTGACTTCATAATTGTTGACTTCCATCAGAGCAGTAATTCTTGAACTGTTGACGTTATTTATATTCTGGACACGCTGATGACCTTCTTCAAGCGTTTCTTCATTTTGGTCATGTTTCTTCATTTGTCGAACATAGCTTGCGTTTCTACACTTCACTCGGAAATGATTTCTACCATTGCACGAGTGACAAGTTTTTCCGTAGGCAGGACAAAAGGATATCCCAAAGTTGTGTCTGCGTCCACAAAATTTGCATTCTTGGTATGCATTTGGAATACGCTTGTTTTTCGAAGCTCTGTTCGTATTTCGGTATTGTCTATTTTTAGTCGACAAAATTCGTTGCTCGCTTTCTGAAGTTGCACGGATCTCCGTCGCTTGCTTTTCTGACATTTCATATGTTTGGCAAATCTTTATGGCTTTTGACATATTGAGATCAGTCTCCCGCAGCAGAATTTCTTGTAATTTACCGCTTACTGAAAATACGATTTTATCTCTGATCATTCGGTCTTTGTTTTCGAAATTACAGGAATCGGCTTTACTACGGAGTTCAACGAGAAATGTATCAAAATTATCTTTGTACTGTATATTGAAAAAGCGAAAAGTCTCCATCACCTCATTCTTCCGAGGATTACAGTGCTCAGCCATTTTCTGTAGTAGAACTTTAGGGTCATTTTCGTCCTCTGTATCACTGTATACAAAGTGTTCGGCAGCTTCAATCATTTGAGCACCTGCGCAATATAAGATTATTGTCTTCTGTTCTTCTTTTGACTTGCTAGTAGAACCGCTGGCTAGCATGAAAATATCAATCTGTCTCTTCCATTTCTTAAATGTTTCTGATAAATTTTCATCATGCAGATCAAGAGTCGACGAATTTCAGATACCGCTGCCACCATGTTAATAATGTCTTGGTTATATGTTAAGTTGTACACCCAAGCTATTATAGAATAAGGGTTCAACTGAATACGCTTACACTTCTTTATTACACCAGCATAACACACAACATAAGATGTTTACAGCAACAGAACATACTAGCGAGTGACGCAACTGCGACACGTTAGCACAAGACAGATAGCACAATCAATTATTAGGGACGTTACTCGACAAGGCATTATTAGCCATCATCAACAGGGTGGTAAATAATTTGCTATTAGAGATAAAACTAGGCTATTTGTATTCTTAAAAAAATGGTATGTATTTAAGAAACGATGTTCATGGGGGGCCCCCCAAGTTGATTGATGGCGAGCCAAAATCCACAGCAGAATGAATTTGTAGGGCCAGAAAAGGGGAGTGAGGAAAAGTACGGGACGACACGGCTGGGGTTCAGGGCGCGCTTAAGCGGCCTGAGAAAATTTTGAGAAATAGGCACCAAAATAGGCTCTAAGCTTGATTTTAGATACACCTAGCATCGCAGTTTGTTATGTAATAAAATCAATATTTATAATATTTAGCTGATAGAATTCTCGGGGAATAGATAACAAGCACGGCTTTCAACCGTAAATATATACTACTACGTTTCAACAAGTAATTTGCAACTGATAGTGACTAATGAAGTTACTTGCTCATCTGGCATTGTATGAATGGCTACTTATGGCTTGTTTTATTACACATTTCTAATTTTTTTGAACATGTTCGTTTGACTTTTGTATGAATTAAATTTTGAAATACGCTCGCCAACTGATCGTAATGTCGCATAATGTTGTATTCCTTCAGAACTGAAATATTTTGTAAGAAGACAAATCGCTGAAGTTTGATTCTTTTCAATAAAGAAATAAAAACGCTGTCATTCATCTAAAACACGTCTGTTTTCAGTGCCTAGTTTTCGTTTTGTGACATCTTTAAGCTTTCTTAATATATGGCTGATATCTAAAATACTGCAGTGTGTAATCATAATACCCATACCTATACATAAGATACCGGAATAATTAAGTTGTTACGAAATAAACGTGCTTAAACTGTGATAATGATGTAACAATAGACGGTATCTAAAACTCAAAAGGTACCACATGAAGGGTTAAACTATTTCACTCAAGTTTGGCGGGCCATTTTAAATCGTCACGCAGGCCGTAATTGGCCCCCAGACAGCGGTTTAGAACCCCTCAGTGTGGAATCGCACCTCAAAATTAGGGGGGGTGTTTGAAATTTTAGGGGGGGTGTTCACCCCCTATAGGGGGGGTGTAGGGAAATCACTGCACCCATCGACCGCATTTTGCCATCCCTAATCTGCCACCACGCTTCGACCGCATTTTGCCATCCCTAATCTGCCACCATTCGACCGTATTTCGCCATCCCTAATCTGCCACGCTTCGACCGCATTTTGCCATTCCCAATTTGGCTTTTCGTCCCTATTCCGCCATCCCTAATCTGCCACCTTTCGACCGTATTTCGCCATCCCTATTTTGCCATCCCCAATATGACTTTTATGCTACCAACCCTCCTCGAAGCGTCCGCAGAACGTTCTGTGACGTCATAGCAAGCAAAAACAAATCTCACAGAGCCAACAGAAATATTTAAATTAAATGAAAGTAATAGCCTTCTGGAAAAAAATTTCATCTTTAACCACTAAAAATTTCAAAGCAATTGGTTCAGTAATCAAAGAGGAAAGCGACTTTTTAGATGTTCCACTAGGTGTCCAAAAAGTGTCAAAGAACAAGAACAACAAAACAACAACACAAGAGAGCTTTGCTCAAATATATGGACACATTACCAGAGCGAAGCAGTACTTACCTCTGACGCTACCGGTGCCCACAAAAAATTCCGAGTTTCGCGTAGAGGTAATTTACGGAATCAAATCCGTACAGCCAGTGTTTCCATGGATAAAAGAATACAGCGAAATTTAGAAATAAATAAAAGTAATAGCCTTCGGGCAAAAAAAATCAATTTTTACTCACTGAAAATTTTAAAGCAATCGGTCCGGTAATCAAAGAGAAAAGCGATTACTTCAAAACGTGTCAAAGAACAACATAACAACAAAACGATCGTTATGTCCACTACGTGTCCAATAATATTGAAACGATCGTTATGTCCACTACCGTGTCCAATAATATTGAAACGATCGTTATGTCCACAGACTTGTCCAATTATGATTTTATCGACAGTACAAATCAAGCGCACCGGTTAGCGGTCTTTCTTAAAGCGTCATGCTTGGTACGAATAAAATTGTGTAATCAACACCTCAAACGTATGTTAGTCGTTGACCTCAAACACTGATGGAATGGACATATAAAAAAATAATAACATTTATTTTATGATTGTTTGTCCGGTTATATACTTTTAGTCATATTTTCCCATTAAAAAAAATAAAAATTGGGGTTGCTCAAAAATTCAAACTATATTTGACTAAAAAAGCGTTAACGAAACAAGGAATTGTGGCATTGCCTCTGACTGTCCGGGGAAAAAAATAAATCACATATGCCTGCTCAGTGTACATTGTATACATTTCATATTTGATTGCAGTGATAGTTAATTATCGTTTGGTGCAGCGATTTGGTACCCTACACCTACATAACGTCCAACCGGTTTTTCTACGGAAAATTCAGAAACATGGGGAAGATAGGATTAGAATTCAAAGCGTGTTTAGAAAATGTCAAAAGCTTGCGTTGCTGTGGAAAAGATTTCAGATGGTTTTTGAAGTTGCGTTGTAACAATTGTGGAGAAGTTACTGCAAACTGGCAGTATGTGACTGAAGACATGTCTGCAGATTTAAAAGGTGGTCGTGGGCAAGCAAATATGGTAGAAAAGTGTAAGATGTGCTCCAGAGAGAATTCAATATCTATTCTAGAAGACAGAGTTCAACCATACACTTTTGAAGATGACCTAAAATCAAAAGTAATTGTTGTATTTGACTGTAGGGGTTTGGAACCAGTCGATTTTGATCTGAGAAGTGGTTGGGAAGTTGAATCAAATAGTTCAACGAAAACCTTTTCAGATGTTGATCTGAAAGATAAAGACTGGTTTGATTATGACGATATTGGGAGTGAAACTATCGGTATCACCGAATTAACATTCAAATTTGTGAAACTAAAGAAGTGAACTTGGACCTGTAGATTAAATTTTGAATACAGAAATACTTGAATTACAGAATTACTCTTTTGCCTAAAAATGCCTCCAAATGCATGCTCAATGTTTTGAAATTTATATATATTTTTATAGAACACAGCCATGGCATTGTTGTATCAAATGGATTTCAGCTGACCAGTTTTTAATACTGTAAAAGCCTGTCCCCTGAAACCTAATTATATATCTCTTGATTGTGAATAAACTAGGTACAGTATGATATTTCGCTGCTATTTAAAAACTAATTTAGATTCTATAATTATGGTGACAGGTTTTATCTTGCAATGGTGCTGAACTGCTGATAGATTTAGTGATGTTTCTTTTGGGTATTTGTATGTAGAAGCAAGTTAATTATATAAAGGCTTATACGCTGAAAATATACTGTGTATAATACTCAGAGTTAGTTTTATAGATATTTATTCAATTGAAGTTTTAGAGATATGTACATTGCTTCATGCAGGAAAATTTGACCTCCTCATAAACATTGAAGCAAGAGCTTGATGTGGCTTAGGAATATAACCACATACCCTGTACACCAATCAATATGTACTTATCCGTGCAATTTTAAACAATGTTTCATGTAATCCAACTAGTTATCTCGTAAACATCCCAGGTTGATTGCTTCACTAATTTTATGTTTGACAAACCTAATGTGAAAATTGTCGTTTCCCATGTGATCTAAATAGATGACAAGTTGCAAAGAGACCATGATCACATTGGCAGTCTTTATTTATTGTTTTACATTTCCTCTTACCAGATCATTCGTTTGCAATTTTGATTATTTCTAGTATGCTCTTGTAGATTGAAGCATATTCAAATTGCTATATAATGTATTAATCTGTTTATATTTGTCATAGTATTAATTTGATCAAGTCATATATTGTCAAAAAGCATTAGTTACATTACCGTGGTCGTGCAACAGAAAATACTTAATTTTGTAATTCCTTTGAAACATTTCATTAATTTGCTTCTAGTTATCATAGCTCAACAGGTAATGCATTAAGAGAATGTCGAAGAAACGTATGCTTTATGTCGGAGGTCTTGCGGAAGAAGTAAATGAAAAAACTATACACTCTGCATTTATTCCATTCGGGGATATCGTTGATATCAACATTCCGCTGGATTATGAAACTGAGAAACACAGAGGCTTTGCTTTTGTTGAATTTGAACTTGAAGGAGATGCAAGAGCCGCAATCGATAACATGAATGAAAGTGAATTATTCGGACGCACTATAAAAGTAAATATTGCCAGACCAATGTACACAAAGAAAGAAGGACTCTCTCACAGGCCAGTGTGGGCGGATGAAGAATGGTTGAAAAAATATGCAGTGAAAGATGAAGATGCTGAAGAGTCGATGGAAACTAATGATAAAGTATCAACAGAAAAAATTAATAAAAAATCAAAGAACCCAAGAGTATTTTTTGATCTGCGGTTTGGCACCCAGTATGCAGGTAGAATTCTCATGGAACTACGAGCAGATGTTACACCGAAAACTGTTGAAAATTTTAGGTGCTTATGCACACATGAGAAAGGATATGGTTACAAGGGCAGTACCTTTCATCGTATTATACCACAATTCATGTGTCAAGGAGGAGACTTTACAAATCATAATGGCACAGGAGGGAAATCCATTTATGGAAAAAAATTTGAAGATGAAAACTTCACATTGAAGCACACGGGGGCAGGAGTATTGTCTATGGCAAACTCTGGCCCAAATACAAATGGTTCTCAATTTTTCATCTGTACCGAAAAAACTGATTGGCTAGATGACAAGCATGTTGTATTTGGACATGTTGTTGAAGGCTTAGAAGTGGTGAAAAAAATGGAAAATCTGGGTTCTAAAGATGGTAAGCCAAAACAAAAAGTTGTGATTGCAGATTGTGGAGAACTTACATGAAGGAAAGGATCATATTCAATCTTCATTTTATCATCAATAACTTTGGAAAAGTATTCAAAGAAGAAGTGATACCAAAGCAGACATCCAATACATGAAAATACAGTCATTACAAGTATGAAAAGCGTGCAGAATTTCATTTGCACTGTCCTTATGCCATAAATACCAGGGTGCAATATAGTAACCCAACACTACCTGTAGGCGGTTCTGTACTTTATACCCATCCCAATAATATATCCTAAGTAATTTACAAGCACTATTATGCTGAAAATGTTATTTTTTATATACAACTTGATTTAGCAGAAATTGCTAGTTCACAAGTTAATTACTAGTGATAAAAACAGATAAAAAGGTGAATGAATTGAAAGAATAAAATTAAAAAAAATGTATCACATAAAATATTTGGAAACAGAATTAGGTATGAGACACCCATATACAAGTATCAAAATGTATGACTGATTAACATTATTACTCATAGATAAGAAATGTTTAATTTCATTTCAATTTTCTTCCTATGAGTCTGGTATAGACAGCAGGCTGTGACGTTGCCATACGGAATGTGTGTATTGGATATTATTTGAATTGCTGTTGATTAGATTCTTGACATGCATGGGCGGGGAAAGACCAAGATTCATGGCACGTTCCCATCTTTCCATTCTTGTTGAATCTATGATATGGAATAATGAGGTGTCATATAAGAATCTTCATTATATTAAATTGCCAACCAAATTTAATTGTCAGAGCATACCTATACCCCAAGTTGTATCATAAAATTTTGTACCAAATACCAAGAAGTCTAAAACAGTTCCCATTACAGTTATTTTAGTGCGACGCATGACTTACATTCTATTAATCGTCTGAAGCGACATATGACCAAATAAAGGTTTAAAATGTTTGTATCATCTTAAGAATAAGAAAAATCTAGTTTTTGGAAAAAGATTTTGATACTGTCTATCATTGTGTGATCTTTATTTAGAATAGGAATCCCTTCCATAAGGAAAATAGAAAATTGACACCAGCTTCAGTAGGTATTTTCTCTTACCTTTGAAAATATGAATAAGAGTAAGATTTTTTAAACAAATTTTAGCACGGAAGCTTAATTTTAGATTTTGCAAGTATACAGGTAAGATTTTTTACTGAATATCAAAGTCCTTTAAAACACTGTTTGCAAGATGATCAACTATGAGAGTGTATTTAATCTGAATGTTAAGTATAAGTTTATTTCTAATCATTAGCATAGCAGGCAATAAAATGATTGATAAAAACAAATAAATAAAAACTGATTATGAAATCAGGAGAGCACACGAAACCTTAGATGAGGTTCAGAGCTAGTTTGGTGAATGCCGAATGTTAAAATTTATTTCTGATTGGTGATTTCATACATGTTTTGGAATCTATCTGAGATAACGAATGCCTAAGGTTTATTTTCCCCATCAATAAGAGATAGACTGCAATTGGATCAAGAGATGAGCATTACTGTAACTCAATTTAACCCTTAATTTCATTCCGAAGAATTTTACAAAAGTGTATTTCTCACCTACACTGGGTCCAAATGAGGGATCTAAATCAAACATCCTCAGGATCTTCATATCTCTTTCTGTTTGAGCATTGCGAGTGTCGGAGATCGACGTATCTGGGTATTTCAGTATTTTAAATAGGAAATTATCTCACTTGAATTAGACTATTGTTGACCTGTGCAAATGGATGTATGTTTGCAGCAATGGGACTTTAAAAAGCAATATCTAATAATTGGGAGTTTCAGTAGATTAAGTAGAATAACTACGCCTAATAACTGCAGAGTACCGGTATGGGCACTGAAATAATTCCTGGTTGGAATATTGAGTGGAACTGGTACGCTACCGTAGCGCCACCTGATGCAAATGGCTCCGGTTTTGTGTTGGGAGCTTTTTTATTCCTCTGCCGCTTTTCCTTAGATTTGGCCGGAATTCGTTTTCTCAACTTCATATAATCGTTGATACGCTTTTGTTGTGAAGTCGACATTTTGACGTATTGCCAGGCTTGAAAAGGAATGTAAATAAATCAAAACAAACCCACGTCAAGCGAAGCGTTGGCAGGATTTGTTTATGAATAGTCACGTGACTGTGTCCTGCTAAAGAAGGTACCGTGTTTCCCCGAAAATAAGACCTATGCACCTTACCCAGAGCATCGACTTCCTTGTTTACTTCGTGACATTGGCCAATCAGCAAGATGCAAAAAGTGACGTAACGATGCTCCCTTTTGGCATCCGCTCAGACACTTTTCTCACTCGGACAGATTTTCAAGCGTGGTCGTGAACATTACCTAGTTTTCGCATTTTTGAACTCTCTTCGTTAGTTTAATAATGATGGTTTGAAACACATACCCCATTTCACAGGCGCCAACTCGCAAAAGCACTCCTAAAATAGCCCCGAAAATTTTGCAATGGTAAAGTATAGGAAAAATTTTTCGGGGGTGAAAGGTCGGGGAAAGGTCCATTGTCATTGTGTCCTATGAAGATCTTTAGTTTAGTCACAATACTCAAAAATTGATACCGCAAACGCTACAATATAAGCTACCAGTACCTGTAGGCGGGAATGAGGACGCAATAGGATGGCACAATATTGTCAATTCATTCATCCATTACTATTGTTAATGAAATCTATAATGACTCGACTCGTAAATAGAAGCATCAGTGATTCGACTTGACCCAGTACTCGAATTCGCTGAAACGCGGACGGGTGATGTCACATCATCACATCACTGATGTGCCACTGTACTTTAAGATTCTCTTTTTGCCGTGGTCATTCGATAAAGATTTGGTGATATGTAGCCCTATTTTTATGGGATATTTCACACATCCCTTTGAACAAAGGCTCTAAACAAGAAGTTACTCGTACATCTACTATGCATTTTAGGAAGAAATTTCATTGCTGTATATGAAATTATTCGATTGAATTCAGCTATTGTATAAGAACGGTTTCAACTTCTGACAGCTTCACAACTTCCCCGTAGCAAAGCTCACACAAACTTTGAGAACGAGACGTAGAATTTCACTGCTAATATATTAGGTCATAAAATTGATTTACGTTGGATTAGTGACATGAAGCATGTCATTGGTTGGATGGAGTAGAGGAGTACTTTTCTAATATTAGGAGCAGTACATTATCAGCAATGATGCGGCATTGTCAACATCGCACTGGTGCATTATCAAGAATGAGGGCGCATTAGGATGGAACAATATTGACATTCATTCATCCATTTTATTATTGTTTATGAAATCTATATTGACCAGGACTCGACTTGTGAATAGAAGCAGGAGTGGTTCGGCTTGACCTGTTACTCGAATTTGCTGCAACGGACTGGTGATATGTCACTGTAGAGATTGAAGAGTAACCATTCTTGCTATAATAGTGGTTTTAGTGTTGTTCTGTTGGAAAATAACACAAGAAAACGTTGGAATAAAAATTAATTAATTAGAAATAATTATCAACCCTGTACTAGACACAAAATCTTGCAAGTTCAATAGAAAATTTTAAATTTTGGCGTAAAAAATTTTTTTTAGAGGACTGCGTTTTACATATATTGCTGAAAAGGGCTCTATCACACGCTATTAAAAAGCCATGAGTGAAGCTATAGGGCCCAATGGTTGACAATAAAATAACCCAGGTAAAATGGCACCAGACCGACCGGTTGGGTAGGGTTTTGAAGAGCTTTTTCGCGCGCCAGAAGCTGAAAATGTTTGAGAACCACAGATCCAATGTGTATACACGGGTTTTAATCCACTTTACCCGCGAAAATAATGGTGAATTTATAAGGATACATGGACATGATAATACGACAATAGAGGCAAAAATACAAAAAACCTTATATGTAATGAAGTAGAAGTATCGAAGAGTTTGTCAACAGATATGACGATTACTCACTATATAATTTACGCTCATCGCTACCTACTGATTACACGTGTCTTTTCGAGCTCAAGCTTGAACGGGTGCTCGGTGGTAAGTATCATCACCGAAAAATTTATAATCCAAAGATTTTATTTAAGCAATGACGCGAAATGCACTTGTCTCATACTTGGCCATTGAACACAACGTCATCTTCTCGATTCTCTACCAGCTTCTAGTTCTGATAGTAAAACACGCAAACGACATCATAGAAAAAGCTATTCCAAAACCGTCAACATAGTTTAGGCAACTTTGTTAACATGTCGCACGTATTCAAATTTTACAAAACAACTCTCCACGCCCATGCTTGAACTATTTCCGGTCTTTTGTTGTCGGTCCATGATTAAGGATCGCCGGTTCGTTTATTCGAGAGACTTGAACAATGGGAATTGTAGACGCAACTATAATATTGCGAGTCAATACAAACATAGAATTTATATGGAAAAACACGTGGTGCGTGAACTGCACCATTTAAATAAAGAATTAGTTTGCAATGTCTTCATGGCGACTTGAATACTTGCGTTCTGATTGAAAACTCAATATTAACAATAGAAGAAAAGTATTAAACAATCAATCAATTTTATTTCGGTCCCTCTGACATGAAACAAAACAACAAAAAACGGACAAACAAAATGCAGAATACCTGGAGGAAGAGTATTTGCTTTTGTTGTTATAAGAAGGAAAAAAAACGAAAACTTGGGAAATCGCAAAACGTTGATGCGCAATTAAACAATATGGGTTTTGTGAACACACAACCAAATGAGTGTACTAAAATTTGAGTTTTACGGTGCTTGAAATCTGAATGTGAAATGGATGGTACATATGATTAAATTTAGTAGTTTTATATAAATTTATGTAAAGTTATGTAATTTTGGAATCCTGGTTGTCCTTTGCACTAAATATACTGCGTGAAGTTTGTATTGTTTGTTCACTAATTCGTGTGGCTTGCTAATTGGGATTCATTTCCACGCTACACGAAGATTGTAAATATCTTGCGGATCGAAGATAGATAAGTTACTTCACAGGCGCAGTTTTATGAACCGATTGCATTTTCGATCCATTATATGCAACGACTAACATACCGATTGTATGTTAGCGCGAAATTTAGATTTTGTATTTTTGAATCGGAACCCACAATTTATCCTCTTTTAATTAGAACCGGCCGAATATATTTTTAGACGCCGTCGCGGGCACATTTATTAAAATATACCTAAGATGCAAATGTCCAGAATATGCACTTGACAACAACATCAATTTTTATAATCCTCGCGGATATCAATCATATCGGAGCCATAGAACGCTCCTTTGGCGGGAAATCTGTAGAAATCCTAAATCCCTATTCTATCTGTTTGATTCGCTGTCTACAGATCTATGCTATGCTTCACACTCGGTATCGGTGCAGCAGTAGGGCTGGGCATTTTCGAATACCTTATGGTTTCAGAATCGAATCGACACACAATAACAAACACGTTTTTATCAATAACTCACTACAGAAAATAGTCATATGTTAGAATTGCGTTGAAAAAAAATTGGGGAATTCACCTCGACCATTGGCGAAAAAAAGAAAACAAGATGGCGGCGATTCGAAATTTAGCTCTGAACCGATTCGAATAATTTACTATTCGATTTGAAATGCCCAGCCCTATACAGCAGTAGTGCAAGCACGAGTATAGGAATAAAAATGGTGCAAAAAAAAGTAATTGGTTTGAAGGATGATGATAGGATAGTTTCTTAGAGATGGTAGTTTGGATGGAGCCTGTTTAAATACTCGTTCTGTCATTGTAAAATATTAGCTTATAATATAAAAACTTTTAATTATAAACTAATGTGGGATATTCTTTCAGTAAAAGTTAAACCAAGAATTAGACATATTCCTGGGAATGATTTATGGGTATTTTGTTCTCAAGCACCAGAATTTATATCTCATTCATTTTGGAACTGTGTTTTTACACAAAATGCAGAAATGTGTATGATTCTATTTTTTTCTGTTATATTAAAAATAAACGATTGTAAGTTGAAGTATATATATAGGCCTAAAACATGTTTGCATGTATTTTATTAGACCTAAGAAATCAGTGTTTTTCACATTTATCATTGATTAAACGTAATGCTATTATTCCAGACTTCTTATGTGTACTGCTAGATACAAGATTGGCAGATTTAAAAAATCCAGAAATCCCTTTCAGCATGGAGAAATATGGAAAAATTGAGACAACAACCTGATTTTATAAAAAAAAACTTGACATGATATGCAATAACCTATGACTTTTTGTATGAATTTTTATTTTCTGCCATAAAAAATTTAAAAAAATATTTAAAATAACTTATATTTACTTATAACTGTGATGAAAAAAATTTCTGAAAAAACAGTCTGATAGTAGTACAACATCTATTGAACCACAATGCATTCATTTTTTAAACCAGCCAGTGGATCTGGAGATGGAAAGAAATCATCCCTAACTAAGTCTGATAATGAAACAGAAAACTTGAAACCATGGATTGAAAAATACAGACCAAAATGTGTTGATGATATTGCGCATCAGGACGAAGTCGTTGCAGTTTTAAAAAAATGTATTACAGGAGCAGACTTGCCCAATATGTTGTTCTATGGTCCCCCAGGAACCGGTAAAACATCAACCATTCTGGCCCTTTCACGAGATTTGTATGGCCCCAAATTTCGGGATAGAGTACTTGAACTCAATGCATCAGATGACAGAGGCATATCAGTGGTGAGAGACAAGATAAAAAATTTTGCACAGTTGTCTGTAAGCAGTTTACAAGGCGGAAAGTCGCCTCGTTCAAGATAATCATATTAGATGAGGCAGACTCTATGACGAAAGCTGCACAACAAGCTTTGAGAAGGACGATGGAGAAGCAAACGAAAACTACAAGATTTTGCCTTATTTGTAATTATGTCACAAGAATCATTGCACCGATTACATCAAGATGTTCAAAATTTCGATTCAAACCTTTGTCTGAAGAGGATCAGAAAAAAAGGTTACTCAGAGTAGCAGAAACAGAATCCGTTAAAATATCAGAAGATGCGATGGATAGTATGGTAAAATGTTCAGAGGGGGATTTGCGAAAAGCAATGACATTTTTACAAACTGCACATAGACTTAAAGTAGACGAAGGCATAGCAATCGAAGATGTTCTCGAGATAACAGGTGTAATACCAGATCCAGTAATCAAATCATTTCTCAATAGTTGTTCTTCAAATTCATACGAAAATCTCCTAAAAACAGTGCAAGAGATATCAGCTGATGGCCATGCCGCGGCTCAATTGGTCTCACAGCTCCATGATGAAATTGTTATTATGCCATCTCTCACTGATGAGCAAAAATGTGCCATAACTGAAAAATTAGCAACCCTCGATTATTGTCTCAATGATGGTGCGGATGAATACCTCCAACTTATGTCACTTGGAACTCTTATTCAGCAACAAATTTGCTCATGAGTTAGGGATTTTTTTCTACACTGCCAAATAGGGATGATATATTTTGGTGGAATATATCACTTTCATCATGCGCCAACCTGGTCAATACAACTTATGTGCTTATGTTATACCAGATTTCTTATTCCAGAATTTGTCCATGCACTAAAATTATACAGGAATTAATTCTTCATACACCAGCAGTGTCATGAAGTACAAGAGATTTTTAGAGAGTATCAACTAATGCTAACTGTGGACTTCATGAATCATTACATTGAAGTTATTATGAACCTCATAGTAATAATTCAACTCCATGTGTACTACCATCAATGCGGAAAAATAAGCGAATTCCTGTCTAAATGTTTCTGTGATTAAATTTTTTCACTGAGTTGAAGTTTTGCAATGTGTATAACATGGAAAATCAAAATAAGGTCAAATATTTAAGTCTTTAATTTACGGGGAGTACGTATTCTCCAACAGGTTTAACAGAAGTGATGTGGGATAGGAATAAGAGCAGGTTCAGCCCCCCCAATACATGAGAAGGTTGGTGGTTCGAAAACCAGAATTTACCAGGCAAATGGTGCCCATGACATAACAGGAAAAAGACTAAGAATCTCTAGACATAACTGTATATTGAAAGAGACTTTGGTGGAAAGAATATTAATTCAATATAAACCATGGGTGGGCGAATTGTGGGCCGGATCTAGCCCACTGAAGCGTTTCATCTGAAACTAAGACTATAGTTTTCATGGATAGAAATTTCTGAACCCGATTGTGCTTATTGGTATATAAATGTTAGCCTAGCTTTTGTGAATAAATTGTTTTTTTTGTTCATAGTTTTTCCTATCGAGTTTTGAGATTCTGGCCCAGTAACTAAATCTATTATGAGTAACTGGCCCACTCAGAAAAGTAATTGCCCACCCCTATCTAAACTGATTACCGGTAGCTTTTAAGATGCATATGTGGTCAAAAAATAGGGCGATCGGTACTTCGGTAATAGGACTGGTTATATTATAAAAATCGTTTTATTTGTGTAATTACATTAAGGTACATACAAATATATATAAAATAATATCAAACCTACTTGAAGAAGAGAAGTCTCATAAAATCACAATGTCTCCATGATGCATAGTTTCTTTTCAACTATGTATTATGATGGGGTAGCCTAATTTTGAACAGAAAAATTGAGATACATGATTTAGAACCTATACCCTTTCAATGTCTGGAATTTATCACATCTGTTCTTGCTTAAGGCAAGAATCTGTGAAATTGATGTTTCTACATTTTGTTAGGACCTCTACACCTACAATTGGCAAATAATTATATATCAAGCAGCAATGACAGGTGCACAAAGTTTGGCACTGCACTTAAATCTAAATTGTTTATACAGTGGTCCAAAAGCTCTTCCTCTCTTTTGCCCTTTGAAGCAACTCTGATGCACGCGCTGATGTCAATGAAGACGCAACAGATAGGACATCATCGTCTCTAGAAGCCATTACTGGTGTTGTTTGAGGTCTTCCTAGAGGACCACAGTGCTGGAATTCTTCACTTCTGAGTGATCCTTTAATTGGAGCCCTGATGTTTCGCAAGGAAGATACATGCCTTGTTACGATGGGGCTGGAGCTTGGTGGTGTCTGTTTTCTTTTCATTGGTGACTCCTTTTTTACAATAGGTGATTTTACAGATGTGGATCGTTGGCCTTTTTCACGTGTGCATTTGACTGGTGCAGAGCGTGGGCTTAAACGAGTTAGAGTGTGTGTGCGACCTTTCAGAAGATTTTGTGCATCATATGTAGGGGCACCTGCAATAGGTGATGAATTTTCTTCTACAGGTTCTGAAGAGGCTAAGCTACCTGTGGAAGATTCATGACGAGATGGTGACACCAAAAGTGCCCCACCCTTTGAAGGTGTTGTCAAGTCAAGATGGCTTCTTCGTGCACCGCCCATTGCTTGGAGTCTTGGTGTAGTTAGACGTCCTTCAAGAATCGACTGAGGTTCAACAGATAGGTCAGATTTTTTATCAGATTCCTCTTTATTATCATCAGGTTCACCCCAAGCTAATTTCCTTGCGACTGAATCTCCAGTTGTTAGAGAAGTGTCATATTCTAAACTATCGACTTCAATTGCTGTTTCAGTATCAAGAGATTCGGTATGATCACTCCCAATTTGAGACGCTCTGCTCCAGTTATCTTCTGCATCTTTTTCTTGTTCTTTAAGATCCTCTTGGTCAATCTCAGATTCGTTTTGTTCACTTTTTAAACCACTTCCATTAGAAGATGCTTCCCAGCATTTGTTGTATGGGGATGCAACTTGTGTTGCATGATATGGATCAATATGTGTTCCGAGGTGTTTCTGTTTGTTGTTCTCTGCCAAATTTCGTAACTCCCCTGCTTGTGAGACTTTTACTGCTTCAAATTGGGCTGCATATTCTGATTGCAAATCTTTTTTCTTTGCATGTGTAAAAAATGACTTTTGTGGATTCTGCAAATCTCTCACGCGAGCTTTCATTGATGGGGATGCAGGTGAAGTCTGGGATGGCCTGTTGATCAAAGGTGAATCTTTGGCTTTGAAGTTTGATATGTATTCCGTAGTAGGACGAAATTTTATTCCCCCATGTGGTGGAATTGCAGGAGAAGAAGAATACACAACATCAAGTGCAGAAAGTAGTGGAGATTGTTTTACTGCGAACTTGGGTGGCATAAAATTACGCTGATACTCCGATAATCTCGCCTTTGATGTTCTAGAGGGCTTGTTAGACTGCAAACCAGCCTTGTGTTTGAGGGGAATATTTTCTTTAATTTGCTTTGACTTTTTTGAACTAGTCATGCTTTGTCTGGGTTGTTCTGAAATTTCTCTTTTACCCGGAGATGACTTGGAGCTTGGTTGAATCACTTTAGTCTTTGCATCATAACCTTTGGAACGTTTAGTTGGAGAATCAGTTTTTGATATTTGAGTAATATTTTTGCTGTTGTAAGAAGTTCCCTGTTTGAGACTTCGTTTGTCTCTTGGCACGTTCTTTTCATCACCCCTGTCTTTTTTTGAACCATCAATTTGCTTTGGTGATTTTTGAGACGACGATGGTAAAAGCAAGTCAGCTCTTTTTTCTGCTTGAACATCTTTTCGTGGCGCAAGTATCACGCTACCATCTAAGCTGCGACTTCTGTGTTGTGGAATAGCTTTGGTTTTCTCAGGAGATTTCTTATTTGTTAAACTTTTACGTTGCTTATCAGCTTTTACTATTGGTGATGCTGCACCTTTTTCTGTATGTGATATGGTTGCTGCAGATGACTTAATTTTCTCTTCAGTATCACTGTCAGGCCACCAAATAAGACAGCTCTGAATTTGAGGGTCTCTGTGCCAAACTTTCTTCTTCAATGTGAAACTTGGTTCCTGGGATGATGACACCTGGTCCGATCTCATGCCAGCATCTTTTGCTGTTTGATCTAGTTTCGGCACAAATGAGCCGGAGCGGAATGACTGATTCCACTTATAGTTCCTCTTGTATTCGCTACTTCCTTTAAACAGAACAGGCATTTTGTCCTTCTTTTACCGTCTCTACCAGTTCCGGAAACGTCCGAAATCCTAAGCGAAGCGTCCACAAATCCCAAAGTCTTCGTAACCAACGACGCTACCGTCAATCATTTTTGTGAATACAGCCTTACGATACAGCTCTTTAGTTCCCCCTGTGATTTAGATGAGTTTATTTCTACTCCATAATCAGCATAAAAGGCGATTAAATGATTGATAAAAACAATAAATAAAACTGATTATTAAATCAGGGGAGCAAAAACGTACAAAATATAAGATGGAAGGTTTTGCCAAAAAGAAGTGATACGTGTTCATATTATTAACACACGCGCACGCACACAACCATTGGGCTATAATAAAGTTAGAAAAAAGAGCTTTAGATAAATTTTATAGTAAACAAAAAATAAGTAAAAAAGAAATTAGAATAAAAATAAGAATTGTAATTAGAAATAAGAATTGTTTGCCACACCATTTTAAATTCCCAAATTGAGTACAGATTATGTAAACAAAAGTGGACAGTAAGACAAAAAGTAAAAAAAATTCGCCAAGCTGATTATAGTTGGAGTCAAATGCCAAATTGCCCAATCAAAGCTATTTAATCCTGCACTTCGCTAACTGGTCCGTAAAAAGGGCATATACGGAACTCAAATATCAAGGAATTTAATATTTATCAAGCTGGTAGTGTTTGTGATAAGTCAGACCGTAAATATATACTACTAGCGGGCGGTGTGGCTCAACGGGATAAGCGTTAAGAATACGCTCGCCACCGCACCTCTAATTACTCTGCCTGGGTTCGCAGGTTCGAATCCCATGCAGGGATGGTTATGTGCGAGAGGATTGCTGGACTCCTCGCCGTCGTTGGGTGGTTCACGTAACCGCTGGTCGGTTACGGCTTCCTCCACCACCAAGTCCATGCTTCCGAAAACAAACTATACAGTAAAAACTAATCCCATACCCGACTTGGAATGGTAACCGGACGAGAGGCCGTGGTTCGCCATATGGATAAGCCGTCTTATCGGCTTTCCTCTCCTCCGGGATAAATATTTAAATCCTATCCTATCCTACTACGGTCAGACCACTAAATGTCATTAAACACGAAAATGAAGCTATATGTATTTCTTAGGCGGTGGCAGATTATGAAAAACTAATAGGGCCGCAAAATTACACAGATGCCAATTCGCATAATGTATATGCTATATAATACTGACAAGTCGCTGTATACGCACAGAGGCCTAAAAACGCCCAGAAGTTGTTATTTTGATAATCCTTTTAGTTTAAATTTACAAGATAAATCCGCCAAGGTTTTTGTTTTAAAAAATTGGTTATCTGAGAGTTCAAGGCTGCAATCGGAGTCAAAAAGTTTTAAAACCGGAGTCGATGGTAAATTTTACCTATTCCCGACCCTGTCGTGCCTGTTAGGTCCCTACAGGGTCGCTAGGAAGGTGAATGTGTTTTGTTTGTTCCGTCGTTTCCCGCTAGCATTGTTGGCGAACGTATCACATGTGAAATCAATTCTAATTGGTCCTGTTCGGACGTTCCGAATGTAACATTGAACAACGCTTTTTTAAAGGTTCTATCTACAGAAAAGCATGGTTGGGCGAATAAGTAAATTCTCAATGCTTAAAAACGGCAGACTATTTCATTATTCTATTTGCTGTACAAAAAAAATCTAAATTCGGACCATTTGTATCGTTAGCGTCTATTCCTTTCTATTTTTCGAACTGAACTCGATATTTAGACAGAGAATATGTGCATGAACTCTCGATGACAATATGGTCAATGAAGACTGCCGGGATGGCTTAAATGTAGGCCTATGTAGTAAAATCGGAAACTGTAAAGTTACAGGAGGCGTCCTGCTCTGAAGTCAAAAAAATATGTTAACCCTAAATATATGCACACTAGTACTGTAGTATCTACTTTTCACCACAATTTTGTGACAGGTCTGCAGATTAAGACGTTTTAAAATTATGGAAGATGATACCAACGCCGTCACTGTTAGTACAGACCAGGAGGATTTATCCGATGAAACTAAAATGACGATACCAGGTGTAATGTATATTAGCACTATTCCACCAGGAATAACGCCAATACATTTGAAACAAGTGTTTGAAAGATATGGAGAAGTTGGCCGAATTTTTCTTCAACCAGATGGTAAGAATACATTCGTGAAAGTACATTTCCTGCGCACAAAGCCACAGTGCTATGGGTTCAGTTGATAACTATGAGGATGTTTAAAGAATTCAGTAGTTTAAAGTTAGGTACCGTAGTATACCTGTGTACAGAAATATATACATAATCTTTCTTGACCTTCTATTCAAATTTGATCATGGTTTGTTCCAAAATCAATTAATCAAGGCGCGGCGGTGTGGCTCATCGTGCTGAGCATTACAGCATTAGGAATACGCTCGCCACCACACCTCTGATTACACTGCATGAGTTCGCAGGTTCGAATCCCATGCGGGGATGGTTATGTGAGAAAGGATTGCTGGACTACTCGCCTCACTACGGTTTCCTCCACCATCAATCAAGTCCATGCTTTCGAAAACAAATACCTAACTAATCCAGTAATCCCATACATGACATGGAATGGTAACCGGATGAGAGGCTGTGATTCATAGTAATAATCTATTGTCTCTTTTTTCAGAAAAAGGTAAAAAAAGAGGGAAGAGGAAAAGAACCACTTTTACAAGAGGAAGATATTCTGAAGGATGGGTGGAAATGGCTGACAAAAAACTCGCTAAACGAATAGCATTAACTTTAAATAATACTCCTGTTATGGAATGGAAGAAGTCGAAATGTGTTGATTATATTTGGAATGTTAAATATTTGCACAGGTTCAATGTTACATGTTTGTACAACTATTGGTTGAGAATTTTTTCATTAAAAAAGAAGAAATTAAATAAATACGAGTGCACATCTTGCAACAATTCAGTTATTGAAAACAGTGTTTTACATAATTTCAGAATATTTTTGTTTCACATACATCTGATGTAAAAATTTTTTATTTCAAGTTTTGAAATATCTTGAGCTAATTTAAAATATAACTTTCCAGGTTTCGATGGACACATCTAAATGAAAGATTATCTTATGAACGCGCAGTGCGACAACAAAAAATGCGAACAGAATTTGCCCAAGCTAGACGAGAGACTGAAGCTTTTATTGCTAATGTTGACGCAAGCAAGAAGTGGGCCAACATCAAGGAACGAAAACAAAAGAAGGGAATTAAACTAACTGAAACAAGGAGAGAAAATGAAATCAAACAAAGGAAAACTGTTGCTGAAATGAGAAAGGAAAAATCTACTGCTGGAATTGAATCAAAGTCCAAATCTATTTTGTCTAATATATTTGCATCTTGAAGCCAATAGAAGGGGGCGAGTTCGAGGTGTGATGCCAACATTGACTTAGGAATTGTATACAAGATTTCCAATTGCCAACACGACACAACCAGAGGAGGTTTAATATGACAGATCTTCACTTCCAGATTCAATTATTTTCCTTCAAGTCTATAATGGCCCCTTGATCATCATGACGTTTTCTAGTGCAGTGAAAATAAACAGTTAGCTGGCTTTTTGGATTCTAGGTGCTATTCATCACGATTGTTTCCACTATGCTATTAGTGTTTACCTCTGTACATCAAGATATGTGATGTCCTGCGAATTATCAAGTTCTAACAAAACTAAACCTTAATGCAGCATAAACAGCTAACAAAAAAATCTAATTCCAATAAAAGCTGTTTCTTCTTGTTTTAGTTGAAATGTGTATGGCCAACTACATATCATCAGATTTGATTTTCAGTATTTTGATAATTTTGTTTAGATTCTCAACTTTGCTTTCTTCTGCAACTCGCTAATATAGTAACTTGCCCCCACTTGTCTTCTATAATGAGTAGACTTCCTATGAAGCAGTGCATTATTTAGATATATATATAAAAAATGTATGCGTGTGTGGGTATTCAATGTAGGCTCTTTTTTATTATGCACGTCACAGTTGCTTATGAAATCTACTGGCTTGTTGCTATACTAAACCATAGTATGTCACCTCTCCCCACTTACCGGTATTAATTTAGTCTTGAGTGGGTGTACTTTGACAAGACTGTTCGGTCATGGAGTCCCAGGCATATTCACATGCCTGGGCTATTGGTACAATAAATCTTCATTGTACACAAGTGTATTTGATCTATCCAATACAATGTACAATTTGTTTCTAATCTTTACAGAATTAACACAACAATAGATACCATGAATAACATTGCAAATAATTTTCCAATGGAGAAGTCTGTACCGAATGTGATGCTGTCTGTGGAATCACTTCCCGAAAGTAAGGTGCAAGAAATATCACTAAATGGTACTGAAACTTACTTCAAAACATTAACAATGTCTGAGAATCTTTGTAAAATGGCAACCAAAATTGACTTTCTCAATACTGAAGAGGATAGTAAAGAAGAGGATGATAGTGAAGTTCATACATCGTCTTTTCAAACTCAACGATGGCCTTGGGAAAGTATTCGTAACCACCTTCAGCAAGCTCTTACAGAGATTAATGTCCTAACTGATGTGTTGACGATTACACAAAATAAGGGACCACCAAAAAACGAGGCAACCATGACTGAAGGCGGAAAATATATGATGTTCGATCATGCTCGAAAAGAAGGTACAACAGCAGTAAAATTGAGTCAACAATTACCGACAAAGAAAAAGGGACTGAATGCAGCTGCTGATATACTCTTGAAGGGTGAGAAAAGTCTGAGAAACGCCGGAGAAGAGGTTGTGCCTGATCTTGGATACCATTTTCATCTTCTCAAACTTCGGAAGTATTGGAGAATTCGTAAAGTTGGATCTAAGGTACTTGGTGATTTTAGTTATCGGACAACTGGCTCTGATTACGGGCACCCAGGCAACTTTGAAGTGATCAAAGCCACAACTGATGATGCAGATTCTGAAGAAACCAAAAGCTCCATGCCATATTCGTTCCCACAAAAGCCCTTAGATAGAGTTTCTCAACAACCAGGGCTTAAAGTGATCATTGGTGCTGATTTAAAATCTTCGACATGCATTCGTTTGTGCCTCAAAAACAGCGGAGAATCAGATATTTCCATTGACCTTCCAAATTCACCCCATTTCGACAGCCTTATAATTCCAAATGAACCAGAATGGCATAAGACATTGAGTAATGCCCAGAATACTCTTTTGTGCCGAGAATTGTTTAACAAGCTTGCGAAAGAAGCTGTACAGCTGAAGACTAGTGCAACGGTAATTCCCTTTTCTGTGGTGGGCAGTAAAATAAGCACAAAAATATTCCCTGAAATGGAATTTTCTATAGAGCTCATTAAGAAAAATTTGAATGAAACATCCCATCAAAATCTGCCCCGAAAAGCAATCAGAACCGAAGGGCATGGTATATTTAGTCTAAAACTGGCATCTATTAAGCTTTTACTTGATCAACACAAAAAGATGTTCAAGGTACCAGCTCCCCATCCTGTGACGGCGACGTTTGGTCTCTCAAAAATTCAACGCAAAGCGCCAACAACTCCATTTGTTCTCTCGCAAGTTCAAACTTTTACAGAAACTGAAGGGAAGTCCATGATAGAGCATTTAGTGGGAATGGCAAAGCATTGGGAACTAAAAAGAAAGGTTTGCAAAGTAATTGATATGCTGGGAAATTCTATAAGAGATCCATACATGCAAGCACATTGGTCAACCGTTGGCAGTCCTATGGAAACAAGTGTATGTATTGTTATTACAAGTGCAGGTTATGAAGCTTGCAATAGGACTTTAGTCAATATGACTGTTGGTACAGATAATGTGAAAGCAGTACAGAAAGATGGACATGCAGTATATTTATCTTCAAATTTCCACCATATACATGATTATCTTCTTTCTCTGTTATGTTCGCATCAACTAAATACCATACAAGAATTATGTAATATTTTGGGTTGGACCATTCAACACTTCTCCCTACACTCGGGTATTGGACACAAAACTGCATTTGGAAGCGCTGGAACTCTAATGGCTGCTTCTCGTAGTGGTAATTCTGCAATATCCGTTCGTTGTTGGATCGAACGTAAGAATGGTCGATCTGTACCAGATGATCAAATTTGTTATGTGGTACACGAGCAAACTATTCATCCAGACACTTTGGAAGGTGAATTCTTGAGTCAATCATCTTACCAATACTCTGAGCAAAGCTCGATTCAGAATCCAAAATGGTCGCTCGTCGGTGCTGAATGGCGACAGGTAGATTGGATAAAATTATATGGAAAGTTTTTCATTTCTAAAGTGGAGAGTTTGTTGACATTTTCAAATACTAATTAATGAAATGTGAAGCATGTGTTATCACTATATAGATTCTATGCACCAATTTGTGCCATTTATGTGGGATCGCTGCCAACTCCCCATGCAGTTTGGTTCATGTTGCCTACATATGAAAAACAAAAATATTTTGTGGAATATGTGGGGAGAATTACAGATGGTTGGAAACTTTTTGTGCATATATTTTCAACAAAAGTGTACTCGACTCTTCTGCACCTTAAGTAGAAGCTATTCTGGTCATTTCATGTTCTGACAGTTACGCCTGCCATTCCCAGCTGTTAAATATAATTTTGTAATGTGGTAGATTTGTTTTTTTCTATTTTGTATTTTCTAATTTGCGGTAGTAGACCAGCTGCTCAGAAATAATTACAGTCCTCACAATATTTAAAATCAGCACATTCCTATCACCGCAAATTCATTTTGGCAATACCTTTGGCATCTCATCTATGGTTGGATTCCATAATGAGTGGGGTCTTTAAGGTTCACAAAATATCATCCCTGAATGTCAAAACACTAAATATTCTGGACGCAAATTTGATGTCACTCATAACAAGGAGAATCAACAGGCACCCATCAATTTTCAAACTAGGTCTGTAGAACCTCGTAGTGCGTCACTTGTCTAGCAGGAAGCGGCCATATATGTAATGCAAGCAGGGAGGGTCATTTTTCTAAATATTTACTAGCGTTGTTTCATTTAAGGTTTGATTTCTGCACTGCTTGTGCGATCAGTCTGCAGCTTAGTGGGTGTTCCGCATTTATTAAAGAGAGTGAACAGCTTTGGTGATTGTTGGGGTGGAACACTCTCGACCTTGGGGCACCGAGGGCATGGCCCAGCCACGACTGGAGCCGGGTATTAAGAATTCAAGTTATTATTGCTAAAATATTTATAACTTCACCAGAATATCAAATAACTGATTTAGGAGGTAATGATTTTTAAGTGATTACAAAATTCGATATATGCTTTTTGATGCTTGATATCAGAATATGACACAATGTAAACATTTTTTTCGTCCCATGGTATATATTTATCCTGTTATTTTTTTTAATTCTAATAATGTTCGGGTCACTTACTGCAGTTGGGGGGTTCGATATGCTTTTATTTATATATCTAGATTGACACCGCATTTTCTGACATCTCCATGGAGTCAAAACTTCCACCTGGAATCTGATGCAAATCTCCGATCATCTATGCACACATATGTTCACTTTTTTCATGCCAATATCTGCATAAACTAGGTACATATGACATTTTATATGTAGCCTATAGCGCTCAGGGTCTTGGAATATTGGAGAGTTTGTAAATTTTTTTAAATCCCAGAGCTACTTCATGGAAAAATATCTTTGCTGACAAATCATGTCAGTCACCAACACCACCTAGCATATTTGCATTGCAATTTTTTATAATAAATTTATATAAGTTTTGCCTGCAAGGAACGTCAACCCTATTAGTCGCTTTCTATGCCAGCCAGATAATATAATAGCAATTCTTAATATGTACCACGCAAAACAGGTGTAACTTAATAAGACATAATGTCAACAACTTATATTTTAAGGCATACAAAATCGCACGAATCCTGTGACAGTGATGCAGCATCGAATGTTATTTCGAGAGCAGTAAAAATTGAACTTTCAACACCACACGACCCAGTCGGAAACTTGTTTTGTCCACCCTTAGTACAGCAAAGAGGACTTTCCTGAGAGAGGCAGGGTGCGAATCATGAAGGGAGAGTTATAAAAACCCTTCCTTGAAAGACATTGTTACTCAATATTGTGCATTGCTGCAAGAATCATTCAAATCAAAATCTATTATTCAAAGGCACAGGGGCATTTAGGACGCACCATCTTGTTATTCAAACAAGTCCATGCATCTGAAGCAACAGGATAACTATTTCCATATCCAACATAAGACTGGCAATTGTACAATGAGTCACGGTTCGCCATAAAGAGTATGCAGTATTATTGGGTTTCCTCTTTCTTGGGATATATATATGCAGATTTTATCCCACATACTGACAAATGAAATTCGTCATGCAGCAATAAATTTCCACATCAAAGCTCACGTCAGAATTGATTGCTATTCTTGAATCCATCTCAGTTTTTATTTAACCTATAAGATTGGATAATTGAATCAGGTGGTGTTGTTCTACTAATTTCCGACTGGGCTGCAATTCTATGTAACATCATTTGTGGAATCAGTTTGTTTATTTGGGGAAATTGCATCTTGAACATGTCCAGGAGAATGCCTACTAGGTCCTGGTGCTCGGCCAACATTATAATATTGACGACTTTGATGCGGAGGACTTCTGCTTCTTCTTGGGTGATGGCGATAAGGAGAACCCACTCTATCAGAGTTAGGATAGTACCGGTCATCCCATTCTCCATGCCTGGAGTCCGGCCACACACGTTCTCCATAAGAAGACCTGTGATATGCTCTATCATCTCTAGGCACTCGCGGTTGTTGTTCGTACATTGATCTATGTTCATATCCTTGTCGCCTAAATTCTTCTTCTCGATGGTATCGGTAAACTTCGCCTGGCCAACTGCGGTCCGGCCGTCGAGAATCACCGCTATGAGAAAATCTAAATGGATAATCAACGGAATGCCGTCAACAAAACAAAATTGCGACAAGAACAAAAATGAATGAAGAGAAAATCACCTAAAATCTTCGTCGCCGAAACGACGATCGTCGCGTGACAGATTTCTGGGATGACCCTGTCCATGGTATCTGCAATATGTACAATAGCTTAATATTTAACTATTCACCAGTTTACTTCAACGTATATTAGCACCAACGTAATTGTCACACAAAATCATCATATGGCATACCATAAATGAACACAAAATACAATGCGAATTGAACACACAATCAAATTTACCGTGAATGACCTCCCGGTGATTCTCTCCCAACTCTATCATCAGGTCTAAATTGAAGTTGATACAAATTAAAGCTGAGTGTGTACTTGTAACGAACTATTGTCTATCAAAATACATTTACAATATCCATATCACTTAAATGTCAGTTAAAGATTCAATTCATCACAAGCAGTTTAAACCATGCCATTTAGTTAACATTACTTCCAACAATTAGTTATGTAAAATTAGAATATGCCTTCGATGTTAGTTAATATAACTACCGTGTTTCCCCCAAAATAAGACGGTGTCTTATTTCAATTTTCTTTCGAAAAATACATCTAGGGCTTATTTTCGGGGGATGTCTTATAATTTTATTTATCACAAACAAAATTAGAAAATACAGAATTAGGAGATTTTCAAATATCAAAACCGATATCCATTTACTTTAATGACACGTTTTCCTCTCTCACACGTTTTAGATTAATCATTTATAACGAATGGAAGAGATTTCTTGCTATCGACCAGGTAAAAAAATGCGCGTTATTGACTAGGTCTTATTTTAAGGAGAGGGCTTATATTAAAATCATTCCTAAAATTCAGGCTAGGTCTTATTTTCGGGGAAACACGGTATCGAGTGAAGTCAGCTGCTGTAATACAACCCATATCAAATAATCCTTAACCTTACCTTAAGTGAGTAATAATGCGTATTATCATTGAGAATGTGGGTTTTTTGCCCACCAGATGCATTTTTCTCCAGGAAAGTTGGTCCGTGTTGGAACCCCACAAATATTATTTTGTCTAAAACCTGCACTGCTCTCATATTGCCAGCGAATGCCATGCTTATTGTAATTGTAATGACCAATATATGACTTGTCTATTCCACTGTTTGGTAAGCTATATTGACTCGGACTGTATCTTTCCTTTATCCCAATATCTCCCGATGTTCCTCCGATTAAACTATATTGTGAAAGACAATTTTCTGTTACACCACTCTGATATCGGTCATTCTGTATCTGACTGCCGCTTTGAAAATAATGTACGATTTGCTGACTCTGTTGGTAAATTCCGCTAAACTGTGATGTGAGTACTTCACTGTTGCTTTTGCTCAAACTCAATGTGTTGCTGTTGGTAAAGAATAAACATGAACCTGAGTCATGATGATCAATTGAAACTGGATCTCTAATATTTATCTGAAACGATTTAAAATTCATTCACAGGTAAATAGTGAATTGTATCGAATATGGATACTTATGGCAAAGATAAAGAAACTGTGTAAAGTCTCACAGCCATACACGGCGATTCAATCAACCCTCTATGATTCATTCTAACTGATGTCTAGAAAATTTTTATAAATAATGAACAGATTTTTGCGTGAAACAATGACATTTCTCACCTTTCATGAAAGTTTTCACCTTTTCTATTTGCTGGATGTGGAGGAACCCTGGAAAAATTAAACACAGAAATATTATCATAGTATTTCATTCTATCCTGGTGAATATATAGTTTTAGTAGGTCTTGGTATTTTATTGTTCCCCTACAACTTTGCTCAGAAGTGAGACATCTTTGCTTTTCGGTGAGTGCGCACAATCTTGCTTTAGGAAAGTTTCTTCAAAAAAAATATATGGAAAGTTCAGAGTGTGGAATGGTAGCTACAGCTTAAAGCAGTGGTTCTCAAACGGTGGGGCGTGCCCAACAAGGGGGGTGTAGACAATTTCCGAGGGGGCGGGAAGCTAAATAAAAATATTTGTTAGATTTGATCTTGATATTTGTGATATTTATATATTTTTTTTATTTTGGATATTTATGTTCTAACCACGTATTCTCAACATGTTTTTAAATAAAAAATACTTTGTTATTTGTAGCTTATTGTTAGCTAGTTATTTTTGACATGGGGCGCGAGACTTGACAAATTCTAAAAGCGATGGCGCAGCTCAAAATGTTCAAGAACCACTGGCTTAGAGAATGGGCAGGTTTGGAATAAACATGAAATTTAGATATATTCCAATTCAACTAACTCTACAACTCTGCTTTTTTTTTCATTATTCACTTTATGCTCCTACAATGTTCAATTTATTTTTTCTGGCTACAGGCAAGAAGCAGGTTTCCTAATCCTACTGATGTTTGGAGACTTAGTGTTTAATAAATATTTATTATGATATATTTCAATATTTTTTACTTTGGCCATCCCAGAAATGACACCAACAAAAAGAAATCGCTTCAACGCAAAATATAAATGACTGCCTTGTTTGGAAAACATCACTGAATACATTTTAATATCTTACAGATTATCAAAAATTAATTTTATTTCTGTCAATTAAATTGTTGTTATTTGTGTAACATGAAATCAAGTACCTTTCTTTATGCCTGGATTCAGAAGTATTAAAAGAACGTTTTGGAGCAGACGTCGGTCCGTCACCTGCACCGCCTCTGTTTTTATTCGGTGAATGATTTCTTTTCTTCCCCGCAACATTCTAAATCAAAAGAAATATCTGTTAAATTGACTAAGGTCACTCAGTAAACCCAATTGTATCAGATACATTATCTTGTTCAACAACCATGCTGCAATCATCAGAAGCAGATATAAGAACAGTGAAGCGTGGAACTGTCATAAATTTAAGTGACCAAACGAGCAGCACACCAGAAATTAATAAAATATCACAAATCAAAAATACCGGGAGTATAGTTTCAACTAGATGCGAAATATTCCGTAAAATGCAGGCCCTGAGACCCAGTCTGATTCCCCATCTATCCGTTCTAATTTTGCTTGTCAACTTGATATATTTCATAAGTACAACAATAGAGATAATAATAATAACAATATCCGTAGGATGAGGGAAGTCGGTAAGCGGCTAAATCATGTGGTGAACCACAATCTCTCTTCTAGTTTGCCAGTCCATTTAGAGCAGGGGTGGGCAACTTCTCTAGTCGGCAGGCTAGATGTGGGAAAATGAAGACCTCGGTGGGCCGGATTATTACAAAAAATACTTTGGTATCCAATTTTTGTTAAATGCTCGACACTTTTTGTCAATTTTACATTTATTGGGATATTCCATGGTTAATAAAACTCAATATAAAATCTAATTTCTAAAATATATTTATATTCAGAATCCAAATATAAATATAAATGTTAAAAGTAGTGGGGACTGTTTACAACGCTCTCTGCTTTGACCTTATATTGTTTGTTTAACAAGTGTGCTAACGCAATTGTTTTTTCACCAACACAATTGTTTGTTTCACCAGCTCGCACTGACAGTGCGGTGAGAGTAGAGCGATCGGCAACTTTCAGGAATGATGCGTCAGACCACATTACAGAGTGTGGATGGGTACAGTCAGCGGGCCGGTCAAAATCTTGAAATCTCGGGCCGTATGTTGCCCACCCCTGATTTAGAGTGTGGTAATATTCGTGTAACCAATTATTCGTTCCAGATGCATAGATCTGTGAACATTGATTCACGCAGGTGGTTGAAAAATTATTTCACTCGATAACAAAGATTTGAGAAATATTTTTAAAATTATAAAATTAAGTTAACAAAAATACAAACCTTACGGGATGACGAATTTGAATTTTTCTCAAATTTTGAATCAGAAGTATTTCGATGAGTTGAGTGATCACCAGATCCAAGATGAGAATGCTTTACCTATAAAGTAGAGTTGAAATGATTAAAAAAAAAAATATTGATTTGCCACCACGATAAAGATGTTAATCCTAATTATATACGTCATATTACCAAACGTAGCATAAAGATTTGCCTGTGAATAATTACCCAGCAAAATTTGAGCTCAGATTAAAATTAGCTACTTCTTCCATCTTTAAACTCTAATATTTGAATTATCAATCAAAAATGCGATTTTTGACAACCCACTAATAGCAAGCGATGATAATATTTAAGTCGGAGAAAGAAGAGGCATGAGGGTAAAACCTAGAACATGAAAGTATGAGATGCCTCACAAAGATAGTCATTCCAAAAATTGAGCAGGCCAATCGAGACACACTATCACTATGATGCACAAGTTAACAAATAGCAACTGTTCTTTACCTTATTTTTGTCACGTTCCTGCTCTCTTTTCCGAGAAGCTCTTTTATAAACTTTATGTAATCGTTGCGCATTGAATTCAGTGAATTTTGAAACAAATATCCACAAATTTCTGAAATGTGTAAACCGAATAGGTATTATTGATAAATAATACCTTGTCCTAACACTTTGTGGAATTGAATCTTGTTAGCAAACTAAAAGAAACACTGAATTTCATGAGTATTTTGGTGGTTGGAGTTGCTTTTCTCACATGGTTTTCAATAACTTTCTACTAAATCTATAAAACTTACAAAAAGTCTTTCAGCTAGTTTTGTGATGTCAAAAAAGAAGTTTGATATGGTTAGAGGTAAAAACTCCACCTAATTTAACATAGTTTTCGTTAATTTGTATTAAATTCAAAATTATTTATAAAAATACCTACCAAATTTTCGAAATCACAACAACCTACTGAGATCATATTTAAAGAAATCAAAGCTCACCGTCTCCACGTCTTAATTGCCACTAGATCACCATGACACTCCTTCAAACATTCGAGAACTCGATCACCAATTTTCAAAATACAATTCTTCATATGTTCAGCCTGAGCTTTCTCATCATTGTTTGTACCAGATGGCGGCCTGACAAAATTGAATGATTCCATGATTGAAGATAAAATACTACTTGAAATTGCTTTTTGATACCAGGTACTAACCATTATAGGTTGTGGTTACAGAAATTAACACTCAACTCAAAGACCCCAAACTCGGGGCTGATAAAAATTTCAACTCCACCCCCATAAACAATTTTTATGGGGGTGTAAAACAAATTTCATCAACAAAAACTCTGGAATATGCTAATTGATTTTTGTGTTTGCTAAGAATGCTTTGTCATCTTCATGCTTTCAGAGCTTCACCCCTAAATTTTAAGTTCAATTACCACCACCAGTTGAATACAGATAAAAGCATTTCAGTCTCCCAATTTTTGAGAATACGTACTTAATATGACCATTATATCAATTAAAACATGAAGAGTGAGAGATTTTATTATTGACCAATCAGAAAATATCTAATGATACAGTTGACACACAAAATAAAGAAAACTCAATTTATATCTTACTTATCTAATAGTTTTAAAGCCTTTTTAACAGGCCTCATACGTTCCTTGCAATCTTTGAATGTATCGAGATCGAGTTCACCTGAAAACTCATCTTCAGCTGAAAATTGAAAATAAAAACAGTAACTCATTAGATTCGAATTTAGGTGTTAATGATAATTTATTACTAGAGATTTTTCTGTAAGCATTCTTATAAAGTATTTCGATTGAATACTCGGGGAAAATAACTGAATAAAGCTGAAAGTTTATGTTCCAACTATATTGTCATCATAATGATAATTTAATTGAGACTTGTTGGGGATAGGATTTTCATATTTATCCCAGGCAGAGAAGAGTTGATTAGATGAATTTTCGACTGCATACCAAATTCTTCGATTATGAGGATAGTTAACCAAGGGCCTAGATGCTGTAGGAAGTCATAAACGACATCAATTATTCTGCGCAATATTGGAATCTCCATTGTGATAAAAATAATTACCTATTGGCACTGGATCTGCAGCAGCAGTGATATGTACTGGTCCATCAGATGCTTTTCGTTCCGTTTTCTGTTTTTCCTACAAAATATAAATGATATGAATTGAACACAGTGATCTTGAAGTTTTGATTTTGATCATAATCTCTGTGATATAGCATTAAATTTATCGCTTGTGAATCAGTGTTCACTAATCACTCGCACTTGGGTTCTGGAATGGCAGACAATTTCCAAAAGTATGTAATCGAAGTACAAAGTAATCAGAGTAAAAAACAAACTCTGGGGAACAATATTCTAACAATATTTTGACAGCATCGATTGATTTTTCTATTTGCAATTATACTAGATCTATCATATCTGTTCACTTGTGGTTACATGATACAGTATATTCAGATTGATATAATTGGTGGATTCTTTGATTGCTTTCTGATAAGATTTAGAGTCCTTTAAACAGAGCTTATATCTGTTTCATAAGTCTGCTTTGAAGTACATAGTTGTTTTGGCTTGGTTCGGCTCTATAAGTGATATATACGGTATATTCATTATTGTTAAGTTTGAGTCAGGAGTGATCTGATTCAGGAGTGATTGGTTGATTCGAAATGAATTTAAATTAGCGATATTGCCGACACAGTACCACGTGTGTAAGCAGGCTAAAATTGAAGAGCTCGATTGTCTTAGGAATCAGAAAAACATAGTAGTTACTGAAGGATAAAATAAAAATGGGAAAGTACTGTCATTGTCCAACTTTCAAATATACAATTGCTGGCTTGCTTTAATTTTGTGAGTCTACAAACCACTGTTTAGACCAGTGATTCCCAAAGTGGGCGATATCGCCCCCCAGTGGGCGAAAACGATACAGAGGGGGGCGAAAAAGTCTAAGGGGGCGATAGGGGGGCGATTTCGCGAAAGCTGTTTTATGTTCGGCGCACTTAATTCTGTACTCTGTGTGCATTCGCAGGCTTGAAACATGTGGGCGATATTCACACGCGAAAGAGTTTCTGGTCTCGTCTTTGCAGTAAGGTAAGGTAGTTTGCGTATCCCAGTGGTCGGCAAAATACTGCCGAAGTAAAATAATCTGGCCCGGGACGATTCACTGAATGGACCTTTCCCCGACCTTTGACCGCGGAAAATTCTTTCCATACTTTACCATTTTAAAATTTTCGGTGCTTATTTTAAGAGTGGTTTCGCGAGCTGTGGCCTGTAAAATGGGGTATTTGATTCAAACTATCATTCTAATACACACCATTTAACAATCTGTTTTTTAAAAGTACCGATAAAGAATTTTAGCCTAGTCTATCATAGCTATTTCTACACTAATTTTTGATTGTTGTATTTAAACTGAAATTCATAGAAAGACAAAGTAATCATTGACTTATTTGATTTATATTCAAATTCCCGAAAAACAACTAAATACTAACAAATATAATTCAAAAACGCGAAAATGAGGTAATGTTCACGACCACGCCTGAAAATCTGTCTGAGTGAGAGTGTCTGAGCGGATGCGAAAGGGGGCATTGTTACGTTTTTTGCATCTTGCTGATTGGCCAATGTCACGAAGTAAACAGGGAAGTCTATGCCCGGGGAAATATCCAAACGGCGGGTTTGACGATGAAAATTTTTTATTTATAATCTACGCTCGAGGAGTAAATTACATTTTTTTACGTAACAGAATTTATCGTGAGACACGTTTAGAGTAAATTATACTATATCCTAACAATTTAGTGAACAGCCACTCGTTTAACGAGCCTACAATTTAATTATAATTAGACAAATGGAAACACGCAGAAAAGTTGATGCTGAGTGCAGGGGTTCAATAGCGCAGTAAATATTCGAATATATTGCAAAGTAATAAGGAAATAAAATTCATATTCATATTCGGGAGATTCATCACTGCTTGATTTTTGTAAGAATGTATCTTCTTAAAGAAAATATATATTTATCAAAATTTCACAAATCGTGCGAAAATATTCACTTCGATGTTTGGAAGTACATATTTGTGCAAACCATTATTTTCGAAAATGCACATTACAAAGAACAAGCAAAGAAGTGGGTTTGGTGATGCCCATTTAGAAATTTTTTCAATCTTGGCGTCGTGAAGCTATCCAGCGCGATGCAGCAACAAGACAGTGTCACATTAAATGTTATTGTAATATTTTTTTAGTAAGACGACTGAGTTGAGTTCACGATTGTCGCAGTTTTCGCGTGTGTTCCGTTTTTAACTCTCAAAAAATATATGCTACCCGCAAAAGACTAGCAATCCTGAATTTTGTCCTGCGAGCGACATAAAATTTACCGACCCCTGGGCCGTAGCCGATAGTCAGTCACGGCTTCTTCCACATCCGAGTCCATGAATCCAAAAAAAATGGCTGGGTAATTATGGACTGGAGGCCGTGATAGGGTGAGGAATCGGGGATGGATTTTTTCGAAGTATTTTGGTGCAGGTCATCAGGCTGTACGAATGAATGAAATGTACGAAAATCATTATTATAAGTTTGGGAAAATTATTTTTGTTCTTATTATTTTAATGTGAAATGGGGTGAATTTAGGAAGTGAAATGCTATAAGGCAAGAGTACACGGCGGTTTTTGAGGAGGTAGGACCCTGGATTCTTTCATTTCCGACCTATTATATGGTGAAAAAGAGGTTTTCAGCCGTGCTACTATTGCTATTAGAACAATAAAATCACCTTTCCATCAGTAAATGGGGTAATTTTAGATATAATAAAAACCTCGCTGAAGAACACCAAGCTCATCTATCTCATTAAAAAACACTATAAACTATGATTTGTCTTCTTATTTGGTCTGTAATAAATTCGTTTCTGACTTTATATTTTTTTGTAGTGCAGGGGGGCGATGAAGTTGTATAAACTACTTTAGGGGGGCGATGGTCAAAAAAGTTTGGGAACCACTGGTTTAGACCATACCATTTAAAAACAATGTTATATATTACTTGAAAAATAAAAACTTACTGATTTTTTTTTATCGTTTGAATGAGTGTTTCCAATTTCTTCTTTCAATTTCTCGTTCTCTTTCGTTTTGTGTTTTCTCTTTATTTTACGATTTTTGGTCTAAGAATAAAGGAAGTTGTTCTAGAAGTTTGAAACTGACAAATTTATTTCTGACAGACTTAATATCTCATATCTCAAGTTCCCATTGCTATACAGTAGTTAGAGAAATTCGCGAATCATTGTAAAGTGATAGAAACTGAATATGGTAATGCAAAATAATTTAGGAAAACGTTGCTCTGATTTATCTGACATCAGGTAAATGTCAAATTTTTATAATGATAAATTAGAAGCAACAAAACTCTAAATTCTTCCTTAAAATCATATATACAATATAAAATTTCACACAAATTCGAACGTATTCAATATTTTCATCACTTCCGTGGACTGTCCCGTCATTAACCCATTGTAGAATTATTACAACAAGATGACTAAGGACCATATTATGTTTTTGTCATAGCTTTGATCAATTACATTGATGGGACAAAACCTACCTCTGTACTATTTTTATTATTCACTGTATTTTGATTTGAGTGATTTTCTTTTGTATTATCAGAATTTTTTGCATTTGATTTAGGTTTCTTTTGCATTTTTCGTGAACTTGAATCTTTCTTTGTTGCCGAGGTTGTTGTATTCACCATTGGAGTTGATAAAGATCCAGGTTCCGCATCACTATCATCGTTTATTTCCACTCTGGCTTTTGACTTTATTTTACGACTTCGTTTCTTCGACTAAAAACAAGGGGGATTTGTAGGTAAACATTGTTGTACTTCATACATCAGTGATAAGAAATCTAAAAGCCAACTATAATTATACTCATTCTCCGTGTTGGGGAGGTAAGCCACCTATTTCGAAGACTCTCGAGTGACTTGATCATTTCAATGAAAATACTTGTCTAACCGCCAAGCCAAGAGAATTGACCTGAGACTCTTAAGTAAAAAAGTTTGGGGTGAATGAAGCAAAAAATTTCGATGAAACACGAGTTACCACGTAAATTAATGCTGTACTGAGAAAAATCTAAAACCTATGAGATTGTTAGAGCAATAAGTCAAAATAGGCAGTGTCGATGGTAAATGTTATCAGTAAATGATTAAATCCTAGTTCGACTTTCAGAATAACACTAGCTTAGCCATATCGCTCAATATTCACCCATTTTACAGTTGTTTATGAAATCTACTACAACTCTGTTTCAACCAGACTTGGGAACTAGGAGTGCAGGGACATACCTCGACTTGGGAATCAGATCCTGAGGGGTATAGGGTTCACTGTCGAAATTTTCTATTGGAACGAACAAATGTTTGCACGCGCCATAAAGCGCAGTGACAACCCTGATTAAAAATTGATGGTACTCACGACTCGGGGTTTAGAGAACTGTACCCAACGCCGACCATATTACAATATGAATCTTTTCGCCAAAATGCACAAAACCACAAATACTTACTGATGCCATATCATCATTTTTTGAATTCACATCAACCTTCTTTCCTTGTCTTACTTTTCTGGCAACCCTGGATGCTGCAGCTGATAGAGCTGAGTTTGATACTGATGTAATTCCTGTGGGAGCTCTTCCAAGTTCTTTAGTTTTCCTCAATAATTTCATCAAATATTCCACTCGACTTTGTAATTGTTTGGCTTGTGGTTTCTCATTATTCGGCCGCAGTATCTACAAATCCAAGATGCAAAAACGTTGTATAAAAAAATTTAAAACAGTAATTCTGTGGGTGCAATTAATAGTTATCTATGATTTATTGAACATGCTAAAAACTTATGATTGAGATATAACCACCATTCAAGTTGAGTTCAGATCTTCGAAAATCTAATACAATAAATATACTAGGTTAGGAAGTAGGAATTCGCATCAAATTCTCATTTCAAAGCAGACTGTGTTACAAATCTGATTGCTTTAAAAATTTTATTCGAGTCTATTTTTAAATCAATAGTAGAAATGATGTGAAGTCATTTGATTGGCCATTGACGGCGGTGGTTCCAAAATTGTGAATGTTAATATATTTTGAGTTCATTGAAATATCGAATTTTTAAGTCAAAATTGATGCATTACAGGAGTCTCTGTTAAATCTTCAAAATTTGATAATCGAACCTTTCTAGATAATTGTAGTGAAGTATCTGATTGAATTTGTTCCCAACTACCCATTCCATACTCATAAATACCAATTAATAAATTTGAGTCATCTTCTGATGTCCATTCACAATCCCATCCACGAATCGGTTTGACTGGAATAGTTAACCTGAAACTATTGAAACAAAGTATAGATAACAAATTTGTTGGTCATGATGGTGTAGTAATTAGAGCGTTAGGCCTAAGTATGATGGCATAGGAAGAGTTCTTGGGTTCATACCCCATTCCCACCACCTTATTTAGGGTGTAATAAAATTGGTAGGCCTAATAGGAAAGATTCATGTCCGACATAATATAGTCGTAACTAATGTCTTAAAGTTCATACCCCATACCCACTGCTCACCGAGGGTGTAACGAATTGGGTAGGCAAAATGCTAACTGAAAAGATTCAGATCCTGAAAAAAGTCATTACCGAATTGTGCATGGCCTTGTTCAAAAGTAATCTAACAAAGATTTCATTATTGAACGAACATACTTTTTTCTTTCCTCTGCAACTTTTGACATAACTTCCACTAATGGTTGTAATTCTTCGATACACGCCATTGTTGTTTTTACAGATACTGATGCACCGCCGATACGAAATGAAGGTCCTCGCTTAGAGTTCTGTTGAGTGGGTTGATCGACTTCCTATAATCAAAATGCTTTGGAATGAAATTTTCAGATATGACTTGTCCGCAGGAATGTCCACAGTTAATAGAACATATATTCAAAATTAAAATTTTCAATTAAAAATTTCAGGCATTTCACATCCGATAGAAAATCAATCAAGACAATGACTATTTATTATGTCTGTACTATTCTGCAATAAAAAATTAAATTTCTATCAAAATACAAAGAATTGTGATAATTTTTTTTGATGAATATGACCTTACTTAGAAATATTTAATAGGTACTAATCTTAGAATACATTCAAAATAGTTTTTCGATTCTGGTCATCTCTGCTTCTACATTGGGCAAAGATTTCTTGAAACTTATGCTTTTTTGTTCAAGAGACTTTGCCCAAAGTATGGCCAGAAAATATAAGAGGAAATGCCAGGTTCTACTGGGACCTAGATTTAATGTGGTGCATACAAATTAATGCATAAGGCTTATGATTTGTTTTGCAGCTTATCTAATACGCCAGAAGATTACCATTCCAGTTACATGTAACTATCTTTCAGAAATGAAGCTATCCCAAACTACAGTCTCTCACAGTAACTAAGCATTCATGTGACAAATTGCTCATTACTTGAAAAATAAACTTGATTTTACCAGATTTTGAAGAAGGCTTTTATTATAAGCTTGTAATAAATCTCTCAGTTGATTATCAAGCTGAACTCCAAGTCTTTTTAAGTCGGCTTCTGATTGGACGGTTAATTCAGCATCTCGTGCAATTGAATCCAACCTAAATAATACAAGTAGAACATAAATAGTTGAGACATTAAGCATAGATAACTACCAAATCATCAAGGGCACAAATTTATGAAATAGCCGTTGGGTATTTTAAAACCATTGAAGACCATTTTCTATTATTGTTGGACACAGATATGGATAATTTTGCAAAATTATTGTCGTTGTCAAGGATTATTTTGTTGATACTGTTGGTGAAAAAAAAATAGATTTTCTCCTAATTGTCCAAATGATTACAAATTTTCAGTTGGAACCACCAGATTGCTATTACTTTGATTTTTTTTTTCAAATTTTATCAAGTTCCACGGGATCAAATATTTTACACAAATTTGTTATTTGTATAAATAATCTGCCACTAGACCAGTCCGCCATCTTTCTTACAAAGACTGTGCTCACTGCTCAGTTGCAGCCGTACGTACCGACACTGATTTTGAGGTTTTCGTATGTTCAAATAAGAGGCTTTATTTAGTGTATATTTCGTAGGCTAGCTGTATTACAATTTGTCATTGAACCTCCGTGCCTGTATGAATGTATGTATATCTGAGCATAGCTGTCCTATGTTCTTACTCTCTTTGTTGCACTTAAAGATGGAGTCGTTGGCTGGCTATCACTTTTTTTTTAAACTCAAACCTACATGGATTGATATTTCACGCAAAATTTGCTGTTATATATTTATTAAATTCTTGGAAACACTTTGACATTTTTTTTGTCAAATCGGTAGAAAAAATTTTTCATCAACAAACCTATCAAGTGGATCTCCAAATTTCCTGAAACTTTTTACGAATTTACGGACTTCTGTGCTCGTGAATCCAGAAAACTCATCTTTCTGTCTTCTCGTTCTACCTTTCTTCTTACTACTTGCATCATTATTCTCTTCTGCATCATCGTCATCCGATGCATCGTCATCTGAATCTTCTGATCCTGCATCACTGTCACTTCCACCATTGTGTATCTGAAAAGTTTTGTGAGAAGAAGCCATAAAAATATCCTTCAATATCTACAAGAATTTAAGTGTGACTGTGGTAAAGTGCAAAGGAGTGAAACTTGTATGCATTTTAATGTGTGTATTAATTTTTAATGTTTTGAATGTATGCATTTTAAGCGTTGGAACTTATAGGTGCAGACAAAATTCAGTCTTTCCAAATAGATAGGATTCCATTATATACGAATGAGTGCCTGTCTAGAGCTTTGTTTAGAGTGAGACATCCCGAAAAACGATTTACCAATTCACAATATAGGAAATTGATAAACATATTTTGGTATAGAATACATTCCATCCATACCTTGTTAATAAATACAACTTAATGCAAACGTAAAAAAAATACATTCTCTTACTCGTAAAGATTTTCTTGCTCTCGGAGGAAGGTAAAGTTCAGCTTCCTGTTTCCTTCGCTCTTCCTCTTCAATTATTTTTCTGTCCGATTCAGGGATAATATCATCCCATTCCTTTAATCCATCCCTACTGTCTTCATCCTCGTTACGAACAGTGGAAGTCGGAGTGGCATCTTCATCTTCGTCTATCGTGAATGTAGCAAACTGAAATTAGAATCAAAATTGAAACTTTGGCGTCCTGCGAGTGCCCACCTCTGAATGAACAACTCAATTGTTCGATCAATGTAATAAAATCATGATATAATAATTAGTCATACGGGAATGACCAAAATCAAATAAACTTTATTTCTGAATACATTTGAAAATAATATTATCTGAATATAGAATATATTGTAAATTGGGTCAGTATAAGTCAATATATATTCAACAAATTTTTAGAGCTGGCATTTTGTAAAGCAGGATTGTTGAGAGAAAGAGAGATTAATTATTTTCCTATTTTTAACAGCTTCCAGAACTTAAATGAATACCATATTGATCACATTGGGAGGCTTCTGAACAGTGTTCCCTCTAAGGTGTGCGCGTGTGCGCGCGCACACAGCTTTCAGATGCTGCGCACACGCATAGATTTACTGCGCACATACGTATTTCGATGTAACAATGTTCTCGGTTGGCAGGATGAGAAAGTTTGTTGTTGGCCCCCCTATTACCCGGTTAGAACGCCAAAATTTCTTCATTGGTTTTTGCACAAATATTAGTCATTTCCATAAAAGTGCGCACACACCAAAATTTCTGCGCACACATACTACAAACAATTAGAGGGAACATTGCTTCTGAATGCCTCAAATAGTAATTTTTTTTTAAATTAAAATATTCCAAATTATTCCTAAAATAGAAAATTTTGAATTTAATTACCGTAAATTTAATAAAAATATTTGAATATTCATTTTGTTATGAAAATTTATAAGATTCCAACTCTCAATCACAAAAAACCGCATAGTATAATAAAGCAATTTCAAGTTTAATTTGGAATGAAAATGCCCTGGACATTTCAAAAAATAGAAAGAACATTAGAAATAATTACTTTAAACGCAGATAGAAGTTCATCTCCAGCACCAGATTCAGTTTGTTCCTCCGTTGTTTCGGCTCGTCGTAATATTTCATCAATATCGCATTCTGGTTCTTTTTCTTCACCTTCCACTTCCTGAAAAAACATTTTTGCGTCAAAAGTAGATTAGAAAAATAGTGAGACATAGTGAATTGGACTCGGCACAGAGTGTATTGGAAAATATTGATTCAATTGCGAAACATCATGCTGTGCAAAAAGAAAACCATAGAAAGATGCTGATCTGATAAACAAGTTCTGCAGGATAGTTCGGATTATTTTTCCTTTGCCTCCATACATATTAAACAATCAGCTGAACAACAATTCCCATACCCGGTATGAACTGGTAGGTAACTGGATTTTCCTCTAATATACTGTATTTCCCGGCGAATAAGTCGCGACTATGGTCATTTTCATTTTTTTCGTGTTCTGCTTATTATTCAATTTAGACAATAATATACCTTACATTGGTGCGCATGTTGTCGATAACTTAGGAAGATTGATGCAGAGTTGTGATTTTCCTGCCCCGTCTTATTGGGGGCTATATACAAAAAAACTTTTTTAAGGCTTAAAAACGGGCATCGTCTTATTTGCCTGGTAGATGTATTCGCGGGATATACGGTAATTTAACGTTAAAAGTTTGTATGAAAGAGAATAGGCAACTACAAATAATAAAAACTAAAACTGTGGAACGTCATGTGAACCACTTATCTACTTTCCTCTCATTTGAAATAAAAAAAATTTATCATTCGAAAATTAAAAGGTATATATATACAAGTCTTTAACACAGTATAAAGAATTAGATACTTACAGGACGAAACTAAAATTATCAATCGTATCTAAATTTTAGAAAATTCAATATTAAATTCTATTTCTATGTTTTTTTAACCCCCATGTTCAATTCACAATGTTATGATAGAAAAAATATCTCACCTTAAAAATATCTTCCGCCCCAAACTTAAGAATGGCGCTGAGTTCATCTTTGTTGAATGGGTTCCCAGTACTGGCAGAAGGAGCATTGTTTTTAGATAAAACAGTCTTTCCAGACGTATCCATACGTTGAATAACAAGGTGATCTAGAACCATTTTCCGTTTTGCTCTTTCAATAATATCTTCTTCCACACTTCCAACACAAACCAATCGATAAATATTAACCTGCAAATACAATTAAAATATTATGATAGAGATATAAATAATAAATATTAGCACATATTGTAGGAAAACACATAGAGTCTAGTGCTGGACCACAAAAATGTTTTGAAGACCTATTGGGCCAAAGACCTATTAAAAATTACTAATTTAGTTTGGTTACTATAGCTAATTTTGATTGTAGCAGCATCAACGTAAGGATCTCAAATTCAATCTCTGGTCAGTTTATTGTACAAAGATTCAAATTAGATATAACATAGATATAACGCTTTCAGGCATTAGTAAGCCCATTGTTCGAACATTAATATTAGATGAGCAAGTTAATAACAAACAAACAAAAAAATCGTAATTCCAAAACCCAACCAACCGCTCATAAGAATTCTGAATAGTAAAGACCGATGTTTTCTACATGCTCCAGTCAGATTACTAGGAACAAAAATGAAAAGTAACCTGATTCTTCTGTCCGATCCTGTGAGCTCTAGCTTGAGCTTGAAGGTCATTTTGTGGATTCCAATCACTGTCGAAGATGATCACAGTGTCTGCAGAGGCGAGATTAATTCCGAGACCTCCAGCTCGGGTTGATAATAAGAAACAGAAATCTTCTGATCCTGGTGCGTTAAAATGTTCGAGGGCTTGTCGGCGAACCTCGCCTTTAATCGATCCATCCAATCTCTGAAAATATTTCCCCATTGCAAGTTTTATTCAATACAAATTAATACAAATTTGCATTGCTATTAAAATATTATCAAATATCGCCTTCAATAATTTTGATATATTCATGTTTTTGCGTTTTGAAGTTGAAAAGTTAAATCTTCAATAAAATATGAAATCACCGAGAATGATGGCTTTAACGAACTGGCCTGCTCTTGTGTCAGAGAGATATCACTCTCAGATAGAATTAAGAATTTGGCATTATCATAATGAATAACAATTTAACTGGAGCTATTCAAATTTGGAACTATGGAACTATTTTTCCAAAATCAAGAATTTACAATATTTGAAATACCAAATTTGGAATGTACTCCAGCCAAACTTCACTTGAAATTTAGAGAGGACATTTTTAAATTAAGTCAGAAAAGTTACCTGAAACGTCAGTCGATTGAGAATGAGATATTCTTGTAAAAGATCGAGCATTCGAACCATTTGTGAAAAGATGAGAACACGATGACCATCTTCTCGAAGTCTTGTTAATAATTTATCCAGCAGAATCATTTTTCCACTGCTTTTGATTAGAGACTGAAATGCAAATTAAAATTTAGAACTACATCAGATTTGTATTACAAAAAAAGGATTCAGTTTCAAAATCAAGTATGGAAAAAAGTGAGTGTGATTGGCTGATTGCGTGATAAGTTTTGGTAAGTACGTTGGTATCAAAGCAAAGGTTACCCCATGTTCAATACCACACTCAAGAGAAGGAATCTAACAGGAAAAATTTCGGGATTCCAAAAACAGTAGCTCTGTAAATATCATGGCTACTTTTACAAAATCTCGTTCTAAGGAAAGAGGCATATTTAAAAGAAATCTTCCTTCTTGGAATAGGGAATGTAAGGTATGAACTTATAGAAAGTTTTTGAAAGAATAATTTTAAAAAGTGTAAGATTTTATAAAATAACCTGTAATTTTTCTTCATTATTTGCTGGTTCTTTTTCTACAGATTTTGTCAGGAAAGCATGATTACAACATTTCTTTAGCTCCATCACAATATTACAGAAAGAAGCAACTCTGGCTTTGGCACCTTTCATTAGTTCACGATAGTTTTTAGTCAGGATCCACCTTGGAAAAAAAAATTGGATAATGTTTACATATTTTGTTTTGTAACAAATTGAAATTCTTATATTGGAAAGGCAGTTTTCAAAGTAAGAGCTTGAAATCTGATTATACCTGTAGCCAATGGCTGTGACTGCCTAGCGCAACGTTTCCCAACCGGAGAAAAATTCATTCCCATGGACGAATTCTGTCGTTCTCGGGTAGGAATTCTAAACTGTATTCACTTTAGTATTACTTGTATTCTTTAGTTCTTTATTATTACTATAAAAATATTTACGTACACATTATACTTGAACTGCACAAAAGTGGGAGAGCGAATTTTGCATAACACTCGCTAAGGTTCCATTTTTAAGGATTTTATAAATAAAGAGTAGTTTTATGCATAGTGCGCGGTATAAAAGTTGAAACGACAAAGGGTTTAATGCTAAAGGTTGGGACCCACTGGCCTAGCTGTCGACTAAGCGTTAGACTTAACTATGTGGGCATCACGGTCTAGGGTCAGGTTTTCAAATAAAAAATTCAGCCCAGGCCAAGTAAATTATCAAATCATGAGACTATACAGTCTCAAAAATATGCTTTCCTGCATAAATGATAGTGGACCGCCAAGTCGAAGTAAATGCATCGTGCTAGGAAGTGTTAGAAACAGTTTTGCCATCGGACCTCTTGATTACCATGTACAGGTTTAAATCATGTGGGGATAGTTAATTGCAGGACAATTGCTCAACGTTGTATAATAACTAATGTCATACCTGTAGTACTGTTTCTGGATTGATGACATTTCGACTCGTAGTATACGTTCCACTTTGGCAGGCAGTGACTTTTCGACGTCTTTTTTTACCCGTCGAAGTAGAAAAGGTTGCAATATACCATGTAATGATGTGTAACCAGTTTCTCTCTCATTACTGTGTCTATCCTCAAAATCAGTCCAAGAATCAAATCTTTATGAAAATTAAAGGGAGTTTGAGGACGCTAGCTCAGAGATGTTCAAAATCAATCGAATATTCGAATATGTTCGAAATCCGTTATATTGAATATATATATAATATATTATTCTATAATTTTTACCGTTAATACAAGTTTATCAGATGAATATGACCCAGAATATTTGGTATTGGCCCCTGTGTACGGCAGACAAGTAAAATGCACCAGAATTCATCATAAATAATCTTTGTTTTCACAACCAAAAGTTATTTTTGAAATATTTAATTGAAGAAAAGTACAACTTAAATAAGATTGAAAGATCTTCAAAGCAAAGCATAGCCTATCCAGACTGCATAGAGTCTGAGTAATGCCAACCAGTGTTGCAAATTGGAGCAATTATAAACCTATATTTCGCATAAGTCATAATGGTGGTCACACAAAGTTACCAAAACAATTTAGATTTCTAAAACATTTTCAACTTTGTATCATCCTGGTACAAATCACAAAAATAAAGAAATTGAATATAAATTAATATCCAAAACTACTCTTACTTTTCTGGCATAATAAAGTGCAGTAGCGACCAAAGTTCTTTCAGTGAATTTTGCAGGGGAGTTCCGGTAATTAACAATCTATGGTGTGACTTGAATTCAATTAAAGATCTGTGGAAATAAATTAATCAAAGTCAATATATATTATAAAAAAAATAATTTTACAAATCTCCCACACCCTGGCACAAAATACATTCACAGATTCCGCAAAGAATAATTTAATTTTAGATTGAATATGAGCATTACATCACTCACAAAGGTACGCGAGACTGAAAATCAGGAAAAACCATAACACTACCAATCTTAGATCCTTCTTTATTGACCAAATATACAAATATACATGATCGAAGCCATCTCAGAGCGAGTGTATAAAAACCTTATTAAAAAAATGTGTTGTTGCAAAATTGAGTCTTGTATGTAAGCTCGTATGTCACATAAGATAATGTATTTGTACTCTAAACGCAACTGCTTCAATTTTGGGGATTTCAGTTTTAAGAACTCAGGAAAAAAATGGTGGTTTAACTACAATTTATACATCCAGGTGTGACAAAGCATATTTATACCGGACTTTTGACTCCAAACATAGAGCCATATAAATAACAACTTGACTCCAGCACCCGATTTCGAACCAGATTTGAAATGAAAAACGAAAAGAATAAATACTATCATTTCGCAATATAGCATGACTTCATGTTCATACTGACCTGTACAGTAAGGAGTCTTCATTTTTTAATCGATGAGCTTCATCAACAGCAATTACAGCCCATGTGTGAGAACCAAGAAAAACTTTTTCTTTCAATAAAATTTCATACGTAGTTAAAACTACGTTGAATTTTAATTTTTTGTTTGGAAAGACCCATTCAACATCCCTGATCTGTAAGAAAGTAAAATAATAATGAAGTCAAACCTCCTCAATTTACTGCTTTAAACTGGATAGTCCTTAATATAAAATATGTAAATAAGGATTCCTACTATGTCACAGACTCGAGGCTCCAAAATGTCTGAAATGATGAACCAGCTGCAATATTAATAGAAACATTTCGATGACTGCAAAGCCCTGATGGAAATTAACGCTTTTGTCAAAAATAATTAAAAGTAACTCAGTATTCCATATTCAGGTTAGCGATGATGAAAACCGCTGGCAAAATAAATTCGGCCCATACATGTTGGGTAGTACAAACAACAATTTTTAACAATTCCTTTTCATATATTTAGTGAATACTCACTGTATTGCGACTTATTGCATCACCGACAAATACAATAATATTCATAAAGGAAGCCCATAATTGAAATTCTTTTTGCCAGGCAGCAATGGTTGAAAGAGGCACTATAATCAAGAATGGTCCATATACATCATATATATGATATAGGTAAGAAAAAAATGTAATACTCTGGATTGTTTTTCCAAGCCCCATTTCATCGGCTAAAATCACGCTGTTGTTTCTGAAAAAAAATGGAAATTTTTCGATTTTCCCTTAGAAGAGAACATTCGCTCATTCATCTCAATTTTCATACAGATATAAACTGCATTTAAAAAATCTTCTAATACACCTCATGCATATCCTTCATCAATACAATATAGTGTGGATGCTGTCTCTATAGAGAAATTTGATTTGATTCTATTTAGTTTATGTCATGAAAAGTGGAAAGTGGAGGATAGATTCTGAAAGAGAATTGCGTATTTATCCAGTCGAGAGGAGATTCGATATGACAGGTTTAATCACACGGTGAACTACAGCATCTCAAGCGCTTTCCATTTAGGGGATGGAATAGTTAACCCAGGAGGGGGCAAGGTTTTGGGACCAGGGGCCAAAAATTTAGCCCACCTAGACTGGTGGGCCATGTGAGTGTGACGTAAAAAAGTTATGTTTTATGAACAATATTCAGTGTTACAAAAGTGGAAAACAATAATCTTCATGCTAAAAATAAATTTAATCGCAATCTAAACAAATTCTTTTGAGCTTTTTTTTAGCTAAAACATTAAAATCAGGCATCATCAGGCGGGCCAGATTGAATTACCCAATGAGCTGGATTTGGCCTGCGGGCTGTAGTTTCAGAGTAAACCAGTTAGTAAAAGATTCATCACCTTAATGATATAGCAAGAAGTAATTGACCTGCGCCCATATGTGAACTACTCTTAGGCATATACTTATCACAAATGTGATATGATCTTGCGAATGGGAATCAGAAATGTGATGATGAGCATGTTCCCACTCTCAGCAATCTGTGCTAATTGATGACAGTTGAGAACAAACTGCACAGAAAATACCCTAATACTTTATTTCCAACTTTTGTATTGGATAAAAGCACACCTGCACCACGAATGAGCAAGCCAATTGACTCCATCCATCTGATAATCCCGTAGTTGCAAGTTATCCAGATCTTCTAACCAATGTGAAGTTTGTTTCATTGGAATAAATTTAACATGAGAACGCTTCTGGAAATAAAATTAAATTTTATTCTGTTTACAAATAGCGAATTTACTTTAGTTAAAAAAAGTAGAATACCTGTCCAAAAGTAAGTTAAAATATTCAACTTAATAACTTTATTTGATATAAATTATAACCAAATTAATTTGCACTGCTACTAATTTATGTAATAAATGAACTGTTAACTTTATATATTGAAAGAGTTTTCAGAAAATAATTAGGATGAAAAAATCTCGAACCATAAAAAATTCACCTTTGCATCCCTTCTTGGAACATTAACATTATCCTGCCGAACTTCAAACTTATCTATTTTATCTTGAAACGAACGACCGATTAATTCACCATCTTCCCAAGTGCATTCTCCATATGGCAATCCCTTCCATTTAATTTGATAATCCCAAAATCCAAATCTGTTTTTGACTCTGGATTTTGCTAGAATATACCATAGTAAGAAATTACTTTTGAAAAATAATAAAATTATTATGCATTTTATGTCTCTATAAAATCGGAAAACGAATGGATATACAAGAAGAAAAAGCAACACATGCCAACAATACAATTGAAGTTTGAATAGCAAAGTATTCGATTCAATATATTACAATACAGCACTCTATATTGGTTAGGCCCTCTGCCCTTCGCCAAATTTACCTCATTATAATAAGCAAATATGCTGAAACAGAACAAGATACACTTAGAAGGGGGTGTATGCAAGTTCAAACTATAACTATAAGCTGCCGCCCCTGTTCTGATTTTAGTCACAACCTTGCTCAAAAAAATAAATGTAATTCGAGTCAAACCCACCCACACGGCGTTTGTAACTTTATAAAATATAAGTGTACAAACTACATAGACAGGAGTAACAATAAGCAAGAATTTGTCAATTGTGTAAACAATATAGTCAGTGACCCATCTAGGGCATGGCAGCCATGGCTCCCGCCATGTTCAATATGGATTAACAAGAATTTAAGGTATAAATTGCCAATGATATATATGTAAAATTCTTACGAAAAAATTTGACTAAGAAAACCACTTACACCATCACAATGTTGCCATTTTTTTTTATTAAAAACCACAGAATACAAAAATTTTTAATATCACATTTCAACTGCTTTGGGATCTGTACAAGCTAGGCTTGCACGTAATTTACGGATTTACGGAATTACGTAATTATTTGGAGTTACGGAAGGGAAGTTACGAATTACGTAAAGTCGTAATTATTGCATTGAAACGAGCTTTCTTCAAAGCAGTCAATTTCGTCGATTGCGAAAATGAAAGCTCAACAAGTAGAAGAAGTTAGAGTTCCGGTATTCGCAGCCGTTTTTCTCTCTCTTGTTACGTAGGTGAAGGAAGGCATGACGCGTTGCCATTTACTAACCTATTATCAACTTATCTGGCGTGGCCAATGTAAATTATTAACGTAGTTAATGGGGGAAGAACTGAGTAGGGCCGTTTGACGCCAACACACCTGGTTTTAACTTCTCCCGCAACTTAACCGTAGATAAGGGATAGAATTGCGTTGAGACAGATGGACGCTAACGCGCCCGGTTTCAACTTCTTCGGGTGAAATGACTAATGAACGCAGGAGATCAATCTATCAAACATGGTCTATCAAACATTTGTATCCATTTTACTTTTATTTATTATTTACTTGTTCCAGTTTTCCGTTACTTATGGTATATATGTTCCGTTTCTATTTTATTCTATTTTATAGTCACGCGTTTGAATAGTGGGAATTCCCCACCAAGTGTGGATTAGCAATGCTTAACCATTCTTTATTGTTAATATCAACACTTGATATATGAACATGGAATATCATATTGTTTTTGGCTGTTTCATTTCAGACTTGGGGCATAAACAGGAAAATATCCATAACCTTTCAACACGACTATCTTGTGAAATTTAACGAAGAGCTTTCGCGACGAATTGGAACCAAATAAGCGAAAAGAGCGATTGATCACTCGCGCCAATACCTCGCCGTGATAATTAATGTCGCGCTTATCAAATAGCAATATGACGACAAAAGAGAGATTGCGTAATGAACCAAAACGACGGATTCCTTGCGGACCGTTGAAAATTTAACTGCTATCATATATAATCAAATATGAGCCTGTGTGTTTATTCTGTGCGAGATCCATTTTCTATTACAAAATCTTGATGTTCTGTTAACGGTTTTATCGTTATATATCAGTCCGGAATTGGCCTTGCTCATGATGTTTTTCACAATTCCTCTCAATATTTCGGCCATATATGATTAACTGTCTTACCAAATGCGGCAACTTATTTTGATTTATCGTCGACTTGAATACCACCGGCACTCGACCAAACTTTTGTCAATCTTGGCCTATAGGATCGCCGACTTGAGTTAGCAAATAAATGTTGTGAGTGTAAAATAAATGTCACAAAATGCATTGTTTTGTGATATAACTTTGTATTTTCGGAGAAGGCATGTCATATAAGTTCGGTATTTAAATTATACGCAAATAAATAATATTTGATCTAAATTTATCGCAAATAATGTTATAAACATTCAGTTCGCGAAATGATTGAATGTAAAATGAATCATGGTAATAGGAATATCGTCAATAAGTCGACATCAATAATTATTATTATAAAAATGCTAACAAGGCAGTAATGTCGGATAATGCAGAAAACGCTGCAAAAACAAGTCTTCGTCGCGAGAAATCGCAAGTATAATCAAATGAGAAAATACGCTCGTCGTTGGTTAATAAATTAGAAACCCGTAATTTTTATTCAGTACTCAGGTGGTTTTAAAAAACTATCGTTTCCATAAATATCCGTATACCAGTGTCGGTAATAATAAAGTAAAATTGATCTCATAAAAATGGGACGGTTAATCGAAAAACCAAAGCTAACACAAAAGATAAAAATCAAAATAAAATTAATTTGAATTCACTCCTTGATAGTTGTCTTAACATCTGCCGCCGGCGTGTAGTACTGCCAAGAATAGGAAAACCCAACTTCAATGTCCCATTCGGAAAAAAGTGGATTCAATTGGTTGTTACGATAGGTTTGAATGCGTGGAAAAATATCGCAATTACGGGGTCATTACGTAATTGATTTTGCCGTAATTACGGAATTGATTTTTGTCAATTACGTGCAAGCCTAGTACAAGCGGTGACTGATATGTAAATACTACATTTTTGGAACAATAATTTTTCTGTTTTACCATTAACTACCTGATTTACTACCTCGGTGAGGTAGTGGGATTTGAACCTGTTATACCAACATAATCGACAACGCTTGCTAGACCATCGAGCCCGCAAATATAAAACCAACGGTACATACCAATAACTCTTTCAACCTGTTGATATGTTGTTGACAGGTCTCGACCAAGTTCTTGTTGACAAAGAAAGTACTCTGCATCTTCAGGTGAAGCAACACGCAACCACGCATCCAACTCTTCCTTCTTTTTAATAAAATTTTCAAATTTTTTAAAGCCTCTAACTTTCTGATCCTGGAGGCTTTTCTCAGATTCCCATGTGTTGTGGAGATGTGACCAACCTATATGAAATTTTTTATACAGTTTTATACCTTCAGCCTGGTATTGCAATCGTTAGGCAGTAACATCTTAGCATGGTAATTAGTACCCACATTTATAATATCTGCATTTTTTTTTTTTGTTTCTTTCTAGTCCTATTTCATTTCACAATAGATTGCGTGTAGCTGAATTTTTATTTCTGTCATAATATAAATATCCAAAAAGTTTGCGCAAAGATAAAAAAAAGCTTATTTATGTGAGATTGAAGTTGACTGATGATGACAGAAAAACTATTACTTATGTCAACGAGATTAAGAAAAAAGTAATATTTATTATTAGCAAGCTTGTGAACAAATAAAGTATTTCTACATTTAATTTATATCAAATGTCAAGCTCATTGATTTGAGTAGTAAAGGAGACTAATACGAGGAAGGTTAATGAGAGCCACTAAAGTGCCAATAGCAGTTGAAACTACGATGAACTGCGCAAGTAATAAATACCAATGGACTTAAACACTTCAAGGTTTAAAAAATATAGATGTCAGACCTTTCCATTTTATTAAATATTGTTGTTCTCAATCTCCATTTTCAGGATTGAAACCAGCGTTAGGATCACCATCCGCTTCTGTGGCATATGATGTTGTTGGACCACCAGTCGCTGACGGCTTTCCCACCTGAAACGATTTCTACAATAAACAAATTTATATAGTAAACTGATAACTATTTCTTCCCAAATAGTGCGTCACTGACAAACATTGATACATTTCAAAAAAATACTTCTTTTCTTACTATGTTTAAAGTTAACATGAACTAATCAAATTTGTTCAATTCGGCATTGAAGCAGGAGTACTACTGTACTGTCTATTATTGAACATTCAGAGTTCTCAAAATCATTACGTCCACCAAAATAAGCCTTCGTATCTCATTGATTAAATGCGCATTTACAACTTTTCTTGACTTAATTTAATGTTAATAAATTTTTTTTTACTACAGGGGTTGAAATTTACATAACAGAAAATGAATGAGTGTGAGTTTGAATAGTTAGGGAACCTCTGAATTACTGTAATTATGAGTGTTTTCATATTACATTTCTCACTATACAATTCATTATGAAGTTCGAATGATGCGAATTGCAAAAAATGCTAAAAACACAGAATCTAACCCTATGAAGTTCAAATGATGCAAATTGCAAAAAATGCTAAAAACACAGAATCTAACCCTATGAAGTTCAAATGATGCAAATTGCGAAGAATGCTAAAAACACAGAATCTAACCCTGCAATCAATAATCCTTTCTATACATTCACTATTCAAGTATTCGTCTTCTTTTTCAACAACTTCAACAACGTCATCACTGTCCGTTTCATCTTGAGATTCCTCTTTATAACTATAAATGGTAGAAATGGTTTACATACACGTAGATTTGTATCATTACAGAATATAAAACTCATGTCCCTGAATTGTAACACGTTCAGTCAATGTTCAGCCATGACAAGATTCATGTAGAGTAGGGAAGACTTGTGTTACAAATGTGTAACATGTTCGGAAGTATGAAAGTTAGTAATATCGCATTTCTCCTCGCATAGTACACACCCATAGATAATACGCATGCGCATTTTGGCACATCTGTGGCAAGAATTTTTCAATCTCCTCGCATAATACGCATGTGGGGTTTCCGTTCCTCTTTTGCGTTGTTGGTGTTTTTTTGCGTAAGCGTTTCAGGAATTCTGTTAACTACCGTATATCTCCTAATTAATATTTTGTTTCATGTCCTTATGATGTAACGATCTGCCAAGTGCCAATCATGATGTGATGTTATTTGACATTAAAAAATATTATGCTGTTATTTGTCTCTAATCTTTTTAAAAGCTGACAAGGCCCGACATCAGAGCGTGTTTTCAGACACAGCTCTTCAAAGAGAGGCCGCAGGCCAGTGACTAATTTGAGTGAAATATAGTAGTGATTCATGACCCTGAAGTTTTGCCGATTCGACGAGAAACGACAAAACAATGACAGCAGTTAGCGATGTACAGCCATTCTTATCACCTTTGATTCACCGTTTTCTCTGGCGCTTGAGTTAATGAATTGAATGAAATTCTTGCTGCTTTTACTAACTCTAAATTTCGTTGGAGTGGGCATGTTTCTACCGAAACAAGCATGATATGATTCTAACAGACTTTGTAAAATAAAATTAAAACACTTAAGATTGATATACCAGTATGTGAGAATTATTGGCCAGTTAAGCATAAAATAGGATTAATATTTTTTGATATTTCCCCCTTATTCTGAACTTGAATTTCGGCACTGAAAGTGCGTATTATATGCGGAGAAATATGGTAATTGAAAATTTCAATCTTTTATTAACTCTTTAGATCCAAGTATTAAGCGTTGTACTTCCTCTTTTAATGTGAAAATAAATCCTGAAGAATGCATTACATTCCAGTAAAAGCAGATTGACACAGACTTGAAGTAATTTCAGGTCAAAGTCAATATGATCAAACAACAGCTACAAGGTAGTGAATTCTGTATGTGTACCAATATGGAGATATGATCTAATTTTGTTCGCTTAATTTACATCAAGTTGTGTAATGGGACTGAAGCCTATGAACAAGGTTATGTATATTCACTTGGTTAACACAGACAGTCCCCGAACTAGTATTAGTAATAAAATAAGGAAAACGGAATAAAATTATGGTCCAACCCTTACCTGGTACACACTTCGGGAGTACCGTGAATTCAATATAAAAAGTTCTGTTAAATAAAAACATTACCTTATCTTAGCTTTTTGAATTCTCGTAGATGAACGCTGGGGCCTCTCCTCATCATCGGACGTTGATTCTTCAGACATATCACATTGCCTTCGACCTTTATTTCGTTTGGAATTTCCTGCAAAAAATTGTTACAGCTACATGACAAGAGTAGTAAAATAATTATAAATAATGTTGCCTCATAAACTAATTCGAATCAAGGACAGGATTTTCCCATTCATCCTGGGCAGAGGAAATCTTAAATAACAGATCAATCGTTTGGCAGAACATGGCCACTCACAAGTCCATGTCTGGTATTAAAATAGGTAAACACTTATTCATTACGAATGCATGGACATAATAGTGGTGTAAGCTGTATCTGACCAATTGTTACATCCTTCTACGTTGTCTAGGAGCAATCCTCAGTCACCTTATGGGATTCAAACTTTCGAAACAGCGCAGGCCAATCAGATGTACAATGGCAAGCATGTTCGACAAGCTATTTGAAACCAGACAGCGATAATTAATCAATTCATTATAAAACATTTTTTTACTTGGAATTATTATTACATCATTAGTTTTGGTGTAAAAACATTTTTTTTCCAAATACACATCTAACTCCATCCATACTGCCTGTTGACATAAAGGACCCAAAAGGACTAGAAGTTGAAGATTGAAGATAAAATTGCGCAAAATGAAACTCAAATAAAACCTTTTTTCCGTCCTTCAAGTTTTGCTCTCATCTGTGATAATCTTGATGGGCGATTAGAAGATTTTTGTCGGCCACTCTGTCCATTTTTAGACTTGTTTCTTCGATGATGTGCAGGAGGAGAATCGAATCCACTCGTACTTTCTTCACTCTCAGATTCCGTCAAAGTAGCAGTATAATCACTTGCTCTATATATGAATTTAATATAAAAAATGATTTTATTTCAAATAAACATCAACAGAAAAAGTACTCATTACGCAATTTCACAATAGTTCAATCTGCGCTGAGTCAGGTTCAAACCCCATGCCTACCACCTGTCACCCAGGAAGTAATTGAACTGGGTAAGCAATGCCGACTCAAAAAACCCTGATCGTTTGAAAATAATAGCTTCTTGTACACTAGCGGCTGCCGTTACAGAGCCTTATTCAGAGCATAGTTGTGACAAGAATTAGGATTTTATACTGATTCAAATTAAAATATTCAAAATAAAAACACAGTTATAATTGACATTGAGGTTCAACATCTCAACTCTCAAGAAGGATATGTGAAAGTTTGTACTGGTTTAGTATGATCAAAAATTTCCAGCCTGAAAAAACAATTTGCAATCTAAATCAGTGTTTTCCAAGATATGGATAGCGACCTGAAAATTGTTTTTAGTCTGTGTTTTTTCAACAAAAACCTAAAAAGTATTGATTTTATTTATTAAAGAATTTTACTGTTTAATTTTTATCTGGTGTTGAAGTGTAGCTCAATAATAATTGTATATGTGGGATTCAAAATTGTGTTTTCAAAAAATCGCTGATGGTAAAAAAATAATAACGTTGAAATAAAAGTTATGTTTTTTGTATTAGTAATTTAATTTTGTACACAAGGAAGCCCTACATTCCATTTAGTATTTGCGCATATCCTGGGTTGCCAGATTTTTTGAAATTTATTTTTCTCATAATTTGGGTCGCTTGATAAAAAGGTTGTGAACCATTGATCTAAATCATTGCTCTTTAACCAGGGTTGTTAATAAGTTTAGAATATTTTTATTTAGTCGAATTGTCAAACTCTTCAGATACCGAAGTCGTGTCGTCATAAACGAAATTTTGAATACTTCAGACTCAGTAACCGAAATCAAAATTCCTGAAGAAAACTACGAAAGTACTGTTTTGACTGAACATTCTCAACAGATAATGATTAGCTAAATAAGTCTTGCACACTCCCACAAAATTTTCATAATCAAAATTTGATTTTCGCGAAAGTCAATGGTCAGAGTTAATATTTGTCGACCAGGAGTCCAGAGTCAGAGTTGTTTTTTGAATGGGCAAGTTTCGTGTAAATTATCTCAGACTCTACAGCCCTCATGAGTCGGGCAAGATAAATTTATTAATTATCATAATTATTTTCTTACCCATGTTTCATTCCCTTTTTATTTTCTTTTTTTCTTTTTCTATTACCATCAGAATCATCAGATTCCTAAATAAATATTAACAATGAAGTGTTTCAAATCTTCGTTTTAATAAAGCTAGTAGGCTATAACATTATGTTAAAGATTTCCGATTCATTATGGCCCAAGAAAGGTTCATAAAACTATAATTGAAAAATTTAAAAAGTCAAGGTGTTAGTAAAGCGGCATCAATTAAGCGGAGACATTAATTAGTGTAGACTTTGATAAGGTTCTCCATAATTAGAACAGGGTTTTCATATTTATTCCAGGAGAGAAGAAAGTCGAAAAGATGATTTATTCATATGGCGTACCACGGCCTCTCGTCCCAATTACCAGTCCATGTCAAATATTTGTTTTAGATGTTTAGATGAACGAGAAGTCCAGCAATCTCCACGCACATATTTAACCCCCCAGATGATTCGAGCCCGCACAAGATAATCAGTGTTACCATGGCAAGCGTAGTCTTAATACTTAGCACGATGCGCCAAACTTTCAGGCCTTACCTTAAAAGGTATGTTGACAAGTTGTTTACTTCATTAAGCTCAGGCGTCAAAAATTATGATCGCAGGTTTCATAATACTGTAATTCACTTAATACTATTTTCCAATTACCTGAAGCACTGTCAGCCTCTGGGGTTCTTTTCTAGCACGAGATGATCGTCTCACTCCATAGATTTGTGGATTAGACTCCCATAACTGAAATCAAATTTTCATCATATAGTTATGAAGTAATGCTTTCCAATGCCATGATGGCTAAAATTTAAAATATTGCCACTTGCCACATGAAAAGCATAGAATATTTATCCTGAACAATATTAAAATCATAACACCGCAATGGTGTGATTTTGCTACTATTTTTTACTGTGTCACAAAGTATGAGATTAATTCAAAACGATTTGATAAAGTTTCCTTTTCAATAATGAAACTTTGTTCGATTGGCTTCCCTCACGGTCCCTAATTAAGCTATACATTCTCACCGTTCTCAGATCTTCTTTGATGTGTTTCCGTGGAAAACCGCCTTTGCTTTCATCTTCAGACCCAGAATTGGATGAAGATTTGTCTATAAAATATTGCACATAATATGTTAGTGAGTATACATTTCCTTACAGGTATATAGATTTCCCAACTAGAAGGAATCGACACTGTGATATTTTCTTTTCCAATCCATTTAGATTTTAAGTTCAAGTATGTATAAATAACATTATTCCGAGGGTAAAAGGAAATTGTGTAATAAACTTCAGGTCCTCTCTCCTCTATTTTAAACTTTGGTTTCATACGCGGCCACAAAAAAGATTGACAGAGATATATTAAAGTGAAATAAAAATAATATACCGCTAATCTATTTCCAGCGTTTCAGTTTCATTAAACTATATCTGTTTTGTTTTGCTGAAAGAGTTAGACTATGATCATAAATATGTCTGATATTTCATGGAAAGAGATAAAGTTATTCTTAAAATGTTTTTACAAATCAAATACTTGAATCTTATCACACTGACATTTTGAAAAAACCTAGTTTCTAAGAATCATACCTTTTTTAATTTTTCAATAAAAATGATATGCCACACTGAAAAATTAAAATATTAGGTTTGGCAAATGCCGATAACACAAAAATTCGTACTATCATCAACAGACACGTCTTCAGATCCTGATGTGTTGGTGGCATTTTTGCTAATGTCATTTGATGTATTTTGAGAGTTGGCATTCTCTTCTTCAATATTTTTCTCAGTTATTGATCTCTTTGGCAACATCCATGATTGTTGCAAATCTTGTTTTGAATCTTCATCCATCTGAATAAAAAAGTAGCAAAATCAATTAACACATGATACTTCCTATATCTCAAACACCCAAAACCATGAATATAAATACATTTTATTCAAGATTATATATAGAAATGGTTATGTTTAGGAATTCAAGAGATTTAAATAACATGCTGATACGTGTGTCCCAATTGAAAAAAAACATTCCCAAATAAAACTATATTGAGATGACTCCATGTAAGCATGTTCATGAATAGCCATGTTTAATGAGTGGAACAGGAAAATTTGGAATGGAGTACTTTCAAATAATAATGTGACACTGCACTTGGGTAAAATTATTATGGAATATAGTCGAATTGTATAATTCAATAGTCTGAAATAATATTTTCACATATGAAATATTACATGTATTCCATATTCGTTCACTGTCAACAGAGAAATTGAAATAAATTATTGTAAATCAATAACCAAAAATTGGTAATTGAGAATATATATCGTGTTCCTATGCTCCTGCTCCTATGCTCATGTACATGCATACAATAGTTAAGTTAAATTTTTCTTTTAAGTAATGTGAAGTCTTATTTTTTCTGATCATCAGACGACAAATACTTTAAATGACTATTTATTACTTGAAAGTCTAAATTATTCTCAAAATCAAAAAATACTATAACAAATATAACCAACTTTATATTAATTCCAATATTCTCAGTTTGTTATGGACATCCTGATACATCTTTATTCGGTATATTATTGTATGATATGTATCTATCTATAGGCTATGTATCAGTCATATCTCCCAATAACTATGCAATGATACCTTTCCATCACTATCATCACTACTACTATCATCTGATCCTGATGTATCTCCAACATTATCTTCATCATCATCAGACGAGCTGGAGCTAAAATATGACAGAGTATGAGTTCCAAATTAAATATTTGTAGTGAATTATATACTGGCATGTGTAAAAACACTTTAACATATGATATCTTATGTTTGTATCTGATAAAATCTTTTTGAGTTAGATTTGGAGTTGATTGCACTACCATTTTTACAGTAGAATTTTCATCAACTTAAAAAATGACTGACTAAATATTCAGTTTAAATAGAATATAATTAGTAATAGTTTCATGTCTACGAAATGAATGAAGTATGAGTGACAGTATAGAAGTTATTATGCTGTAGATTGTGTTGATGTGGGTAGTATAGTATATTGAACAGCTAGTCTGTTTCTATCAAAGTACAGAAATGCTGCATTTCATTCTTCTTCTTGTATTTTTTACTTCAAAACGGTAGATTCTGAGATTATTCAGAAGTATTACCCGCTTGCGGAAGATGAGCTGAAATCTGACATTGAGTATAGATGCTGCGACTATCAAACTATTCAAGAGTCTGTGACATAAAATAAATCTATCGATGAAGATCTTAAGCCAAGTCCAAAATCTAAGTCAGTTTTGGAATTCTTTTTACATAGTTTTTATTTCCACTTCCAATTTTCTGAAAAGATTAGAATGCAGGAAAGATTAAGTTGTCTGTTATCTATATATACTGAAATTAAATAGAAAAACTCTCAACTGTATTATCCAATATGCTGCAACGTTTGGCAATTGCAGCAAATGCAATTTTGCAGCATGTTTGCAACATCTGCAATTCATTTTTCAGCTAATTTTTGAAAATAATTTCAATCAAGTAGCAAAAATCAAGTTTGGTTTGTATTGAACACCTCACATAAATTAGAGAAAAATCCGAGTTAGTTTTCCGTTGATTTCAACTGAGATCGTTCCTCAACATTGTTTGACCACTTCCATCAACATATTACACAGAAAAATGTCTTTATTTTTACATTTTATGTTCAACTTTTCAAGCATAAAAAATGGGTGTGGCCGAGTAATTTTGTAATGGTTGTGAATTTACAAATAAAAATGAACAAATGAGCAAGTTTCGTCAAAAATAGAATTGATTATGATGTTTTTCCACCATTATTAATGCAAAATACCGCCATATTCATGGCACCAAGTCCCAAATTTCATTCTGATATAACACTTCGATTCTCTCCCAAAAATGACAAATACACAACAACAAACGCAAATCTACGAGATTGATAAACTTGACCACCTTTTTGCCTGTAACTGCAATATATATCTATTTCACCAATTAATACGTAAGCACGCTCTGCCTGTCCAACAGGCCAGCTGAATCTGAAAAGGAACACGACCCGAAGATTTTGCTCAAAGGTAATGAGCATTATGGGTAATGACGTAAGGGACGTTCCGTAATTGTATTTCGACTCCGCAATCATCATGATAGTAGAATTGAATGATATAACAAAAACCGAGGTAATAGAGATTTAGATGTCACTCCGACGACCCCCACTTTCTTGTTTATCACTGATGTAATATAGAATTAAATAAGATAGTCAGATAAGTTAACAGACGTAACTAAGTTTTGACACTTGCTCAGCCATTGCTTCACAAGTACGAGCTTTTATAGCCTGCACAGAACCATATTGTTTTGTAGTTTTCCATCTTATTTGAGAGATTTTTTCTATATTTCTGTGCTTTAGACGTGAATCATTGAACTCAGAGGCTATTTTTCTTTCCAGTTTCACTACAGTAATTAAAATGCGCTATTGAAAATGGTAGGGCGTTCTGGCCAAAATCAGTTCTCGGTATTTCGTTGTGTGGCGACCCTTGTTTTATCTGTTAAAAGTAAATGATGTTATGTGATATTGTTTCCATATTTGGTATTTTGGCACTGAAAACACTGGGGGCGTTGTGACACTGTCGATCTGTTCTTCTAGGTGTGGCTGTTAGCGTGTGCTGTGGTTGGTTTTCGGTTGGATTCTGGTCATGAGTGTCTGTGGGAGTGCCTCTGATCTCCGATGGGTTATTAGGTATGTTTGTTTGTGGTTTTGTGACTGCGGGATGAGGATTTGTTGAATGTTTTTATGCTAGAGAGTAGGCTAATATTATTGTTTCAGTACAGTGTCATTGCAGTTATTTTAGCGATGTATTTTTGGTTGTTGTCGGGGAATTAGGTATCATCAGTACTGTTCAAAGTTTTTGTTGTGTATATTCTATTTTCCTGCATTGTGCTGCCTGGTACTTGTCGCTTTATTGTATGCTTGTCTGTTTGTTTGGAGTATTTGGTTGTGTTGAGATTGTTAATTAATAAATAAAATAGTATAAATTGAAGTGAATAATGAGAGGAAACTTGACGTCAGATCATATTGAAAGATATTCTGAACTTGGATAATTATTTCATAGACTGTCGGTACGCTACAGTTGGAACAATGAGAATATATTACATATACTCAATGGTTGAAATGAACTTGTTGAATTACAGGTCAAAGGTATGGGGTTCTCTTCATATCCATCACTTCACGGAGCTATAGTAATTCCTGATAGGCCTACTTAAGTGAATGGTTTAATAACGCATTGTTTGAATTATACGTGAATTATAAACATCTAAAGAATATATAGAACGAATACGTTGATTCAAATAGTATGATATTATATAATATACCGTAAGTTTGCAATCCATTACTGAAGTTTATGAGAGTAATTCTGAACGTATGCAGAACAAAATTGCAGCAAATATAAACACCATATTTCTTATAACTCATTCTATCTGTTTAGCATTTGAAAACAAAATGAAAATTTCATTGTCATACCTCATTTAAATCAAAAATACTTTAATTATGAATCTGATTACAAAACATATTGACTGTTAACGCCATTATATATTGTTTCTTAGTCTTTATTTGCCTTTTTTAGATGGGCCTTAAGTTTTCCTCTTCTTTTGACCAAAATCATCATTTTCATATAGGATAAGATTTACATATTTATCACGGGAGAAAAGAAAGTCAATAAGACGGTGTGGCTCATCGTGCTAAGCGTTAGGAATACGCTCGCCACCGCACCTCTGATTACCTCTGGCAGTCCATTTATTACTCATTTGCGATTCATTTCACTAATTCCGTAAAAGAGGGAAAGAGACTACTATATTGTTATGTCATAATTATTATATGTTTAATTAATACGTCAATTAAGCATCTAATGTTAGCTGTACTGTCATTAAATTATTCAAAATGCCGAAATATTGCACGTTTTCTCGTGATTTGAATATTACCAAGCCTCAAAATCAAACCAAGATTTGTACAATCCGCACTGCCCCGGTTTTTCGAACATGTAGGTATGATAAGCCTACGTATATTCAAACTCTATCAAGTGTATTGAAGTGTCAGAAACTTTACAATCACCTCAGTCCTTCAGCAACTTTCATTTGTTTATATCATAAGAATGCGCGGCGATCTCGGAGCACCATTTTACAGCAACCCCAAAACAAAGAACCCAATATTAATTTATTGCATACACCTATACATTGTACGGTAATAAAACTATAGGCGTTGGCTATATAGCAACCAATCTCCGACTTTATTTATGATTTTTGAAGAATGTAAATCAGCAAAAAGGTAAACGTGAGCAAACAAGTGAAATCCAGCATGTCCCTCGAAACACGCTACTTTTGACAAATTTTCTGCAGATCGATAAACATTGAGGCATTTTTTATAGATTTCATTTGACAATTTTTAGTTTAGTCTAACTAATTTACCTAAAAAAAGGATGCAAATGGACCTTTCCCCGACCCTTGACCCCCCAAAAATCTTCCTATACTTCACCATTGCAAAATTTTCGGGGCTTATTTTAAAAATGGTTTCGCGAGTTGGTGCCTGTAAAATGGGGTATTAGTTTCAAACCATCATTATGATTATCCGCATACCACAATATGTTTTTTAAAAGTACCGGTAAATAATTTTAGCCTAGTCTATCACAGCTATTTCTACACTAATTCTTGATTACTACAATTAAATTAAAAATCCTAAGAAGACAGAGTGATCATTGAATTATCTGATATTTATTTGAATTTTTGAAAACACAACTGAAAACTAACGAATAGAGTTCAAAAACGCAAAACAAGGTAATGTTTACGACCACGCCTGAAAATCTGAGTGAAAAAAGTGTCTGAGCGGATGTGAAAATGGGGCATTGTTACGTCACTTTTTGCATCTTGCTGATTGGCCAATGTCACGAAGTAAACTCGGAGAGAGTTCCATAAGGTGAACAAACTACTGATTATTACAGCAAGTGAAATACGGTCTAGAGCAGGGGTTCCCAAACCGCGGGCCAAATCCGGCCCGCATAACGATTTAAAATGGCCCGCCGAGCTTGAGTGAAATAGTGTGGAAGTTAGTGCAACAGATTTTGTTTCACCTTTTTGCATTCTAGATAGCGCCAAGTGTTATGCCATTATCACACTTTAAGCACGTGTTTTTATCGTAACAATTCAATTAAAGCGTTATCTCAGTTATTCGTACCGGTATTATGATTACATAGGGCAGTAATTTAGTTATAAACCATGAAAGCTTAGACATGCCACGCACTTTCGGGCGCTACACTCTTCCGGCCCGCGAACATCCCTCCGCTTCAAATTTTGGCCCACGGTCAATTAAGTTTGGGAACCCCTGGTCTAGAGAATGCAAGTAGACTTAATATTCATATACCGTGTTTCGCCGAAAATTAGACCTAGTCTGAAGTTATAAATGATTTTAATATAAGTCCTCCCCTCAAAAAAGGACCTGGTAGTTTTTTTTTAAGTAAATGGACATCAGTTTACGTGTTTTCTCCACTTTGTATTTTTTCTTTTAAGAAATGAAAATAAGAGACAACCCCCCAACATAACCTTCGAAGAAAATTGAAATAATATACCCTGTCTTATTTTATGGGAAACACGGCAGTTACTTAAGGTTTTATTTGATCTTTCGATTCTATAATCAGTTTTTACTCATTTGTTTTTATCAATTATTTGATTGTCTGTTATGCAAAATAAAGTTATACTTGTACTAGTTGTCAATGTTTTCCAAAGCTTTTTTTGAGGTGGAAGGTCAGGGAAAACATATACAGTATACGGTATTTTATATTATCGGTACTGTGATATAAAGTTACAGGAAGCGAAAATTATGACGTAGGTAAATATAATAGTGCCAAGTCATTGTCAAGAGAATATTGTATCGTGATAATCGATATTCGTTTTGGCCAGGCAGCACTAACTAGTACGGTAGCTTCGTTGTCAATCGATTCCTCATAACTAGAAGGCTTTAGATTAGGGGTATCAGATTTTGAGTACTGTACAGTTCCTACCTATTCAAACCTCTTCTTTGATAAATTTAAGAATTACGTATGCTATCCTACTGTACCGGTACCGTGAAAGACTTCCCGAGCACAACTGAACGAAACGTGTGAAACAGCCCTTAGAGGCAGAATGTGAAACCACAATAATATAACGGTACCGGTACTGAAATACAGTCTGACATTAATCTGTTAATGCTGTAATGGCTGATTAGGTATGGTACCGGTACTGAATTAACTTAGTCGAAACACCCTTTGCTGCTTCGCCTTTTCTTTGTTTGAATTCTTTTTATTTTGTTATTACAACCGTTTTTGATTAGCTGCAGTATTCAAAAACAGAATTGAAGAAGATATGATGGACCATTTTTTAACAGAAGCAACTTTACTAGTTTGAAACAAAATGGTAATCGAGTAAGCACTCTCAAAATAAGCTTCAAAAATCAATTATGCAATGTAAAGTGTGGTATTTAAGCATAAACGCTGTATAGACATTCAGAAACAATACTTCCTATTTACAGATCAGTATTACTGTATTATCAAGTTAAAGAAGTGAAATGGTTTGCATACCCTGTATTGTGATCCCTTTTTTATTATGGGTTTATCACAAGTATCTTCAACCGTTCCTGTATCCAATAATATCAAAATTCTGGACTCCAAAATCATTGGAATCGAACTCAGAAAAATCGGGTACTACCGGTATGAAGGTGAGCACTGTTATAGTGAACGTTAACCAACTCTCCTTATTGTTCGAAACAATATTAAAAGCTGTTGACAAGCATATATAATGCTAATAAAACTATCAAGACACGTGAATGACATAATTATCAGTCTTGCCATTTTGTCTTCACCTTTCTCTAATCAACATTCTTTATTTTCAGTGCCCAGTGACTGGAAAAACTGAAGAATCACCCCATGATAAGAATAGTACAGAAGAAACGCGAACTATAGCTGCAGGTGGTGATAAGAAAACAGACTGATGAGCTCACGTCAACTCCAATAGTGCAATACTGTACCTTTTATCATTAGTTCTTAATGTTTCTTGGTTTTAATGTAATTTAGTTGCACATATTTTTTTATCGTAATCGTCCCAGGAATACCCAAAATTGAAGTTGGAACCTATCCATATGCTAGTTGAGTGAAGGAGTAGGTTTTGGGGATTCCTATACGTCTCTATTTCATTTTAGAATAACGGTGTATACTGTAGTTTTAACGGTGTTTTATTGCAAATAAAATCAAGTCCGAGGAAAACTATTGAAAATGGTGCAAACACTAAACACAAACGGAAAGTTTAAACAAATATCTAGATAGACAAGAATCGATGATAAACTATTCCCAAGCAGCTGGCGATAAACCAACTTGTGCATAACCACCAGATCAGGAAAGAAAATATACTGCGAAACACCATCGGTGTGAACACTGCAGACATGCGTGCCAGAGAGACTCCAGCATGAGATACCATCTCAGAAAATGTAGCTCCTTCATCAAGTACATTAGCATGACTCTGACTAAAGCTAGCATAAGTAGAATTCAAGACATAATCACTCTTGATCTGCTGCCATGAGTAACCACCCATGGTCTTTAAGCACATAGTTAAAAATAGAACTGCCATGACCGGCCCTATATATTGCAAAGCAACCACACACAAGTAAAAGAAAACTCTAGCTACAGTCTTTTGAATATCAGTGTTAGTTGTCTGACCTGCCTCACGGCGCAGGTTTCTAATTTTTATGCATGCAACATTTAAATAAGCTTGAAGATGGGTGCGAAATGCCAAAATTTTCAAGAAACACAGACTAACTATTATTATTAATCTTGCTATATCAAATTGGTGATCTGTTAAAAAAGGTTTTCGCACAGATTCAATGTCATTAGAGCCACATAATACATCCCTTGCCAGAGGTCGTACCCACATGAAAGAAATCAAAAAAGGTGTTGCAAAGTTGATGTGAAGCAAAAGTTGAATAAGCTGGTTTCCTCTGGAGTATTTTAATCCATCTACATACATTTGAGCTGTTCTAATCCCAGGAAAAGCAAGAAGAGTACCAATAATTCCACTCAAAAATGCTACTCCAATTTTGATGATGGGTAAAGGCAGTGGAGCTGGTGCCGGGCTTGGATATACTGTTGCACCGATGGTAAGCAAGCTCGCATTCTGTGCAAAAGCATTATAAGCAGAATCCAATCCAAATTCTAGCGTCTGTTCATCAACAACTAAAACAGCCATAGATGCTACAAATGAGAAACATCCGAATGTTATGCAGGTTGAGAGTTCTCCGCTTTCAGACTTGAAGTACAGTTTCATAATTGAAAACAGATTTCTGTAAAATAAAATTTCATCACATTAATCATGGCAGCATAATTTTTCTGTAATATGTTGTATTATAGCTGGCAATACATTGCCACTATCTTCAATCAGAACCAAAGAAAATAACATAAGTGAATCCATTAATCTGTGTATGTAGCTAAGATTAGTTCCCATTGAAATTAAAAATTCCAGGGTCTGTATTTGAAGGGCAGTGGGGTATTGTGTATTGAACTGCAGGTTCTTTTTCATTGTCTACTTTGGATCTGTATGTGTCCATTGTATTACTAATATATTTCCTATTTTGTGCAAAGAGATTATGCTATTTCTGTTTATCTGTATTTAATACTATATTTATAGATATATATATATATATACGAGCCAAGTAACTTAACTGCAGTTAATGAATGAAAAGTAGTTGGCCTAATCAGAAGATGAATTTCATTTACTTACTTGCAGACAAAACCAATTGCTAGCAGTGACCAAACCATGGAAATATTGAACTCAGGATCAGGCTTCCACCACTCATAATAAATTTCAGTCCCACAGTACACTATTGTTGCATAGAGGCCATAATCTACCAGCCATTCATATTCATCATATTTCCTGAGCGTATAGAGAATCAAGCATTACCTATCTATATATCGATTTAAGACTATGTGGTGCAACCGAAAGGAAATAATAATATCATGTTCAAAGTTTAACATATTATGTTCACCAATATGATTATCGTTATTATCAACAAATTCCTTGCCAAATTCAATATATCAGAAACTTAGATACTTTGAGGTAACAAAGCTATTATTAATTTTACTTCACTAATTATAATTTTAAGTAATCATAACAATTCAGTTCTGGTTTGTTAATCATCATACCTGGAAATCCAACACTGTATCCACTGTTTTAAAAGCGTAGAAAGATAAGTAGTTGGACCCAAAAAATTAAAAAATTCTCAAATCCATTTACTCGCATGTCAGAATGTACCATTTGAAAATGTCAGAAAACTAGAAATATGCAGTTGCTATCCTGTTTTCACAAACGTAATTGTCATACAAAATTATTGAAAAAGTACTAAACCTTATAGGTTTCAAAAATACATACCTCAAAACCAAAGCATCAAGAACCGTGATATTCGTTGTATCCAAAGGAATGTCCACATTTTTAGGTATTTTAAACACTTCTTTTGTAGTGTTGTTCGTTTTTTCACTCGAGCGTTTGTAAGGTTGATGTCGCCTGTAAAAATTGTGTTTTATGAAGATGTTAATCCAATAACAACAAGACAATAAACTTGTGCTGCGTGATAACAAATTTCGGAATTCACATATAGCTAAATAAGTATAAACAGATTTATTTGAATTACTATAATTCAATAGGCTAGTTCTATTTCATCAGGATATCACAGCTAAATGCAGAAATGCTCAGGCAGCCATGACTGATTTTTGTGTTTGGATATTGAACTGTACTATGACAATCATCTAGCTATCATGGCAATCTGATATTAGAGATATCAAAAACATCCATGACCAATAATGCATAAACTGAAACTTACTTTTTTGTTGAATTCTTAACATCCTTTTTAGAGCGCTTGTCTGAACTCTCTTTGCCAGCTAACTTTTTTAGTTCTTCATTAGTGGGGTGAACAAAACGATACAATCCACCACCACAGAGTATCCATCTGCCAAGGGAGTATATAGGTGTCAGTTTCTGCAAGAAACTCGCCATTATAATTGTAAAGCACAGTTGAAATCCAAAGATTGCCATTTCGAGACTGTAGGTTGATGCCGACTTGGAATCAAACTTTCAAATAATAGCATCGACTTCAGGCCATTCGAATAAATAATATATTACTAACACCCTTTCTTCGCAAAATAGATAACAACACGAAGAGGATGAAATATAACAGCAGGAGGGGACAAACGAAAGCTTTCGCACGACCCACCGCGCGCAGCTGCCACGAGCTTTGCAGACCTTTCAAATTTTAATTGATCGCAGCACGTGCGGGGTTACGAATTGCGCGACTATTTTTTTCTATTGAAAAAATAAGAAGAAACAATTAATCAATTCATAAGGTCCAATTCATTAATTGTATTGGACATTAAGTTGATTTCCAGCATACCATGTTGAATGTTCTATTATTATTAATACAGTATAACAAATTTATAGTCCATGATGTATGTATATGCGCGACTAGATTCACTGCCAAATCTCTTTAAATGAACTTTCCGTTCCTCATCAGTTGAGCGATTGAGAAGATATAAAATAATCATAAATTTCATTTGCCGCTAAAATGCTCAAAAAGACGCCGCTGCCCATGACATACAGTTTAACTTGCAAATAAATACTCACAACTATATTCCCGACTTGTCAAGCATGGCCGTTTAATCACGGTCGCTAAATATTCTTCCGATTCAACAGTCGCTGTGCTGAATTGTAATGGAGGAGTAAAGAAAAAAATCACCGCCGATTTTAAATTAGATTTTAGATGGACCGCCTAGCCTAGATCGGGGATGATGAACCGTTTTATTGAATTAGTCAAAAATTATATTTTTGCTGTGGAAAAGGGAAATATATACGGGTCATATTTAATCAAATGTCTGCACCGTTAATAAACACTAGTCTGTACCACTGAACTGAAAATACATAGCTCTGTGGTCTGCACCAATGTAAAACTTGCTGTTGCTTATTTTACGCAACTCATATAATGATATCATCCTTGTTTGGTATTTTCAATGTTGTTAGTTATCGATCTTAAGATCGGTAAGTATATTGATAGGTATTTGTCTGTATGTATGTCTGTCTGTATGTATGTCTGTGTGTCTGTTAGATGCACGCGATATCTCACGAAAGCGAGATTGAATCTGCTCCAGATTTTGCATGTGCATTCATCTTATCTCGGACCAGAAGCCTATTGATTTTGGGCGAATTATGTCGTATAATTAGCGAGTTATCAATCAATTATTGATATAGTGATCTAGATTTTTGTAAAGCGAGAGAATTTTGAAACCCGCCGAGTGTGTGTGTGCGATGCGCAGTGCGCAAGTTACAAGAGCGGATGAATCGAAACTGCAGTTTCTGTTTTAAGGGGATTCCCCAAACTATCGATCGATAAGTCTTCGGTTTCCAACCGATATTCTCGTTTAATGTCATTGGTGTAGTTTTGAGCCGCAGGACTGGAGAAATTTCTACCACTCGATTTTACGAAATTCACATGCAGATTAAATATGGCGAATCTTTTTATGGTTTCAAAAGAGTTTGGAAGAGAATTCTACTCTGAGAAAAATATATTTCGCGATCGGCTTTCAACCAGTTTTCTGTAGCCGGTAATCAAAGTCAATCAAATTTTGTTCTCCAAATTGCATTCCGTGAGAGGAAAGGAGGTCCTTGTTATATATATCCTTTGGTTGATTCTTATGAAAATGATATCCAAAATATGTGAAAGGTGCTAATCTTATTGTAGTCTTAAATATAGTGCATATTTAGCTACAATGTGATATATCATATCACCCATTTCATATCATCCAATTGTGGTTCATACTACAATGGCTTGAAACTAGACTGCTCTGGGTCATAATTTTAGTTTATATTATAATGTAGTTGTGTACATTATGTTCTTCTGATTGTGACATACAATAGTTTGACTATTCCTTCCCTTAGTTTGCCATATATGTATAACTAATAACCCAAAGTTGCTCATCTTAATTGCAATTTAGATACAAAGGATAGGAGGGCCTTGATCTGATATATATATTTATGTGGTATTATACTGTGTATTGAATTTAATGTGATCAATATTCTTTTAATTAATGTGCAATAGTGATATAGACAAATTTGCTAATTGTTCAGAATCTCTAATAGTTTAAACCTCGTGTATGCAATAAATTACTACAAGACGAAATATATTTTGGGCTATCGTGATTTAATTTGACCCAGCCTTGTCAAAATTTATTTAATATCACATATCTATTTCAACTCACAGTCATATTTGTCTATTTCTGAATTATTTGTGAAGGGTTGCAATACCAATCTGATTGTTTCCCATCTTAATACCTGTTCTGCGTAGTAATGTGTAAATCTCGCAGAAGTTCCATATGCATCCTGCTTTTTTTCTTCACCCTAATGAATTGAAAATATAAAATTGTACTACTGTTATGCCTATATTTCATATCTCAATCTATGGTTTTCTTCACACAACACATTATTGTCACTCATAGAACCTTCAATTTCCCTGTGATCATATCCCTCATATTTTATCATGGGTAAGCACAAAAGATTCAGAACAGATTGAAAGTGTAAATTAACATAATAAATAATAATAAATTTGGTATGGAATTCTTATTTTTTGCTCCTCTCTATTTAAAATTTATTTAATAACTTCCTAATCCCGATTAGAAAGTTTTCTCATCCCTAATTAGATATCATTTTTTTTTTCCATAGTGTATATAGTTTTTTTTCCATATGTATATCCTGAGAGTGTAATATTACAGAACCTGTGTTATTAATTTATTTATTCATGTGCTTGCTTTGGGTGGTAACCGACTCAGATGACTGTTAATGGTCGTATCGTTACCACCCTGTCATCTACCGAAATCTAATTTTTCTCATTTTGCTATCATATATATATTGTATGTGTTTTCTGGTTTGACGAAACAATAAAAAAAAAAATTCTCTCTAAATTCTTTCGTTTCTATAGGGCTGGTCATTTTCGGGTAATTACTTATCGATCTTAAGATCGGTAAGTATATTGATAGGTATTTGTATGTATGTCTGTCTGTCTGTGTGTCTGTGTGTCTGTTAGATGCACGCGATATCTCACGAAAGCGGGATTGAATCTGCTCCAGATTTTGCATGTGCATTCATCTTATCTCGGACCAGAATCCTATTGATTTTGGGCGAATTATGTCGTATAATTAGCGAGTTATCAATCAATTATTGATATAGTGATCTAGATTTTTGTAAAGCGAGAGAATTTTGAAACCCGCCGAGTGTGTGTGTGCGATGCGCAGTGCGCAAGTTACAAGAGCGGATGAATCGAAACTGCAGTTTCTGTTTTGGGGGATCCCCTAACTATCGATCGATAAGTCTTCGGTTTCCAACCGATATTCTCGTTTCAGTATTGCACGAATATTTTTTTCGAATCGATTACTTGTAATTAAATGTGACTTTTTTATTTTCAGAGGTCCTACCGGCACATAAATTACTGAAAACATAGAATCAAGCACCCAGTTACTTCGCTGAGCTCTTAAACACAATACGAAACATGTTTCAGCGATAACTCGGAGGTGCGAGAGGATTGCGGGACTGACTCCCTGCCGCCGTAGGGATAAATGTATACAATCCTATCCTAACTAACTAGGAAAAACGATATGCCCGAATTGCGTTGTATAAAGGCTTCAATTAAGAAATTGTAGACTTCACCTCGACCTTTGGCGGGCGGATAAAACAACAAGATGCATGGCTGCGATACCAAATTTTCGTCTGAACCGATTTGAAAAATTTACTATTTGATTTGAAATGCCCAGATCTATTCGTTTCACGCACCTTTCGAAAGGAAACCATTGAAGCTAGGTAAGTTGCGAGGAATGAACAAAGCAATTAATTGTATTGTCATATCATAAACGGGGCAACATAATTTTTGCCAGTATCCCCACACCGACATACTGACAGGTTACATAGATTGTCAGGCCTAAGGTTAGACAGGTTCAATTTCACTTTTCATCACTGGAATGTTAACATGTTTTTCATCAATTCGTGACTTTGCGGATCACCTAAAAACACAGTGGTTTTGCCATCCCTGGACAATATATATATATATATGTATATAGGTATTATTATAAATCATCTGTACTTCTCTTGTTTCGATTGCAACATGTCGCTCATGAAAGCAGAAACTGATGATCTAAACCTAATTCTTGTTGCAATATGAATGTTGCATGAAGAGTCTCTTATATTAAAATTGGGGTAACCTGAATGTTAAGTTATATGTTTCTCATAACTTTCTTAAGCTATATTTAGCTTATGTCGTGTGTGGTTCTTAATATAAATCGGTGACGTAATTATAATTTGCCCATTACGCCCACCTTGTGATACAAAAAAATCAACAAAAATAAATCTGGGTATCTCCCCGAAAAAACACCACGTGGACGAAAGTAGCGAAAAGTATATAAAGTCTCGTCCGTATGACAATGGCACAGAATCCCGAGACCCTCAGCATCCAACAAGCTGATCGAGCTTATGGCACTAAGAAGATTGCAATATGAGTACAATAAACTTGTCACCAACTCAAAAACAGAATTTCCGAGAGTGAAACCAATAAACGACGAGAATTTATTTGAATGGAGAGCGGAAATTGAGGGACCAGTCGGTACACCATATGAGGGTGGAATATTCAAAATTTTTATAACATATCCAACCGACTATCCGTTCAAACCACCAAAACTTCACTTTGAAACCAAAATATATCATCCTAATATCAGTGAAAAAGGATTTGTTTGCGTCGATATCCTCCAAAAACAGTGGTCACCAGCTCTGACAACATCGAAAATATTGCTATCTATTACTTCGCTACTCGCAACTCCTAATCCCGATGATCCAATGAATAGTGATGCTGCTAGACTATATCTTCAAGACAGACGAAAATATTACGAAAGAGCAAAATTGTGGACCAGTCAACAAGCGATGTAATACTTTCTGCTGCAAATACAATGATCAAACAAATCGGGCATTACTCGATTATAGAACTGTTGTGATATTCATATTTCTTTTTTATATAAATATGTACGTGGGTTCAAATGTACGGTTACCATAAATACATGTGTGTGTTTTAGGTATTTTATTTTCATCAAATATAATGCAAACTTTTTAAAAAACGTTGTTTAGCATTTACGCAGTTGTGTTTAGTTATTTTTTCATATTAGATTCGCTAAATTGACAAGTTATTCATTTCTGGAAGTGCCTCATGATATCAAAATATTGAATACACTGACTGAGGCTAATTTACCCCAATAGAGGCAAAAGGTGTTGCCAAAAGTAGTGGTACGTGTATCAAATTAATTGAGACACACGCGCGCGCACATAGCCTAAAGAGATAAATTCATACAAACAAATAAACAAAAGTTTTGCCACGCCATATTAACAATTTTGTAAGGGTTGTCAAAGTGGATACCGAATTAGTTAACAGAAATGATATCTATAGAAAGATATTCTCTAAAACACAAACAAAATAATCAGAAAATAAAATTTTGATACAACGTATTAATAGCTTTGTAAGGATTGACAAATTGGAAACGGAATTAGTTAACAGGAGTGAAATAGATAGAAAAATAGTTCTAAAAAGATATCGCCGAGCTGATCATGGTTGGAGTCTCCTAATGCCAAATTGCCCAACTAGAAATTCCCAAGTTGAATGCATGAATAGGTGAGCTAACCGCTAGACCACTTTACTCGCTAAAACCAGCATGTAGCCAAATAAAAGTCCAGATTGCTTCAAATATTGAAAATATTCAGCATTAGTAATTAAAATTAATTTAAGCAGTATGGTACTGAGGTAGGAGAATAGGCTATGGGAATATATAAGTTCTCTAAAGTTCACGCGAGATTTTCCCCTTTATATTCATGGTTTCTGATGAATAAATACACTGGTGGGACAAAACATATATATGTGAAATTCTTCTCAATTAAAAAGGCAAAGCTGACAAATAGAAAACACCCACGTAATTTATGGGGAGTTACGCCATGCGAAAACACATTTATATTATTACCAATGTGAAGCATCCCTCGAAAACGCCCCTAGTTTAATACCACCGAGCCACGGTATTTATTGCGCAAACACGCAAAGCGCAATCGTCGTACGACATACCTGGGAATTACCCAGGGTCAGATCATCAAACGCTGGCGGGATGACGTTATCACAGTGAAACAAAGAAATGCCATTGCGATCACGTCCGAAATATCCAGATTACATTCGCTCATTTTTATTTAAACTTGACTGAAATTATTTAAACTGAAATTATGGAGGAAGCCACGAACTAACCACAAATACAACTACAGTGGCTAAACAAAGTACTTTTATTCAAAACGGAAAATTCAAATGAAAAAAGACAAAAAGGGCAAAGTTGAAGACAGTTAGTTTGAATGAGTGCTTCATTTTAAATAAGTACTGTCTTATGATCGATATCGGAACACATATATTACGAAAGAAGATACATACAATTTTAAACAATACACACTATTTTACTATTATGATTAATAAGGAAGGCCCGTTATATATTTTTGAACTATCTCAAAGGAATAAGAAAGGACCATCAAGCCAGATTGAGTATTAATTTGAATATATTTTGCAGCAAAAATGATTATCGATCTGCTATAATAATTTCATGAGGAGAAATTCCACATGATTTTTCAACGATCTAATAATGTACTTAGTTTTTATAGCGAAAGATTCCAATTAAATTTTTTGTTCTACAAATTTAGACACAATATAGAATGGTAGATCATTTAATGTCTTTGTCTACTCCATTGAAATAATAAAAATGAGTCTTTTGATATTGAACTTGAAAGGATTCTGATCTCGCACCACAAGAATATTTCATGTCAGTCGATGTGAATTGTTTCAATACACTCATTCAAAAAAGATTCTATATGAAATCTGGATAACACAGCTCTTGACTTCACACAAACAATAAAATTCAAAATTTCTCCAGAATTTTGCAAAAAGTACTGGTACAAAATCAAAAAAAAATGGATGATTTAAAATTCAAATCAATCGGAACCAACAGTAAATGCTGAGGGGTAACAATTTCAATTTTTTCATTCATAAATTCTGATTCATCAACTTGTTGCTGCACAATGATAAAACTAAATTTATCAGAAAAAGCTTGTATAGATTTGAAACTCATAGTATAAAAAATGCAGGTTTCCAACATACTTTGCCTGTTTAAGTCAAAGAACTCTAGATTGACTAAAATGATAATAATCTAAGAGAATAATGCATTTAACAAGATGGAAAGTCTGACTAGTAGAATAGTCAATATTCAGTATCAGGTAAATATAAAATATTTTTGACATAGAGGTGAAAATAATACTGACTAGAAAAGGACAAACAGTTCATAAGATTAAAAGCACACCACAAAAATTACCTAAAATTTAAAAATAATTTTCAAACATAATGAGATCACAGCACAATGAGGAAGCATCTTGGATACTTATAATAATTAAATAGTAAACATAATGCTTCTCTATCTCTAAGTTGGGAAATCACTAAGCAGGAATGTTAATAAATAAATAATTAGATTTCCTATCCCGAAATAGGACAAACATAACTATTAAACTTTCATTGATTATATTAACATGAGAATTTGACACTTTTATCTGAAATTGATCAGATTGTAATATTAGAACTTTTCAAAGTAGATAACAAACATTTTTTTTGAATTTTGAGTAAAGTCAGACAAATTTAATATAAAACATTCCAATACAGTCTATTTAATAATGATGAGAATCATATAACTGAATTCTATAAAGGATGGATTACTACCACTATTATTTATGATGGGTCACAGAATGGGTTTAGGACCAGAGATAAAAAAGAAAAACAGTGGAATGCTTGAAACATCTGACCTCACAATAAAAACATTTTAGCCAAGCCTTACGCATGTTTTTTGCCGAACGAGATGTCAAGACAAAAAAAAACAAGAAATTAAATCAGGGGTTTTAAGATAAAAGGGCAGATATTGAAATTTCAATGAATAGGCCTATTTAAATCTGAAAATTTGATATAGAAAGTTGTACTCAATATCAATCATAGTTTGAGGCAATATTCATCAAAATATTCCAATAAAAAGATTACAGGGAATTAAAAATATAAAAATTTTACTCAAAATAGCTTTTTCAAATTTTGCTCTTTCACATTAAATCCTTATATAAAACCCATAAATCCATGCATTATTTGAAAATAATTTGTTTCTATGGTTTAAATCATTTTCAGTTTAGCCATATGGATTAACCATTATAGACTGAATGGGATTAAATAGGATTGAACTCTGAATGACAGTGATATTTGAAGGTTCAGAATCAGTTGGTCACATAGCATATTTCTTACTGAATTCCCTTGCATTTTTGTTGTATTGTAAACGGTCAAACTTGTACAAATTTGCAATTTCTGGCACAAGAGGATCATCAGGATTTGGATTTGCAAGTAATGAAGATATGGACAACAGAACTTTGGAAGTGGTTAAAGCAGGAGACCAGTTGTCTCGTAGAATATCGACACAAATACCACCTTGAGAGTTTATGTTGGGATGATAGATTTTCGTGATGAAGCGCACATTTGGTGGCTTAAATGGGTAATCACACGGATAGCGAATGTCCAGAAAAAATAATCCACCTTGGTATGGAGTATCTGGTGGCCCAGTGATTGTGGCTTGCCAATGATAAATATCACATTCATCCACAGGCCCAGCAGTAACATTTTCCGGAGGATTTTCTTGAATTCCCATCAATTCATGTTGCAACCTTTTTTGAGCCGCCATAACGAATATAACTATGCCAGATGACCAAACTCCTGTACTCTATGTGCCACTAATTTGAAAGTAATAAACAACATGAAGCTAAGATGTGAATTCTCCCAAAAACACTATCACAATACAGCAAATAGCAATATCCGCCTATAACCTTTTTCCTAGAACAAGTGATAAAGAGAACCCCACGAAATCTGTATCAAACATCGATATTGGAAATATTTTCATAGACTAATACCACTGTTGCCCACATGTTCTTTCGCTGGAAAATATTTGTGCATGCAGAGGAATGTCACCTGAACTAATGAAAGCATTGTGCTCCAGTAATCTAGATTAATCAAAACAAAATATTGAAAAACATTTCTTGTGTTTAAAATGGTGACCGTACATTTGAACCCATGTATATTTGAACCCATGCGTATATCCACGGGTTCAATCTATGTGCGGGTGCTAAAACCCATGGGTTAGGGTTAGTATGGCAGTATGGGTTTAACTATCCGTGACACAAAAAAAATTCCATAGGTGCAATAGCATACAGGTGCAATTGTCATGGGTTCAAATGTACGTGGGTTCAAATGTAATAGAACCGTTTAAAATATGATATGTTATGCTGCTACTATCAGTTTTAAATAAGTTCTAAAGTTGAAAATTTTAAATCTTTGAATTTTGAAACTGTTCTTTTCTTGTTCCATTGTATATTTTGCTTAAATAAAAAAAGTTTTACAAACACGCACATTTTCGTGCACCTTCAGACCTTGTAATCGTTTTTTCTGGAATTTTTCGATAGCTACTTACAGACTTACGGAAAAATAAATTATGTCCTTATGAAAAAACAGGTTGAATACATATTTCTGTACTTGGTTGAAAATTATCTTGACAGAAATGTGAATGTAGTGGATCACTCGGTGTTCCAGTCATAATTCCTATTTTAGAGTAAAGTTTAAGTACTGTGGATAAGATAACCTAATCATTTTCAGTGTCCCTAATGGAGGTGGGAATAGTGCGCAAGAAGCCCTAATTTCTCGATTGGATATCTGTGCGTAATTCGACCAGTGCTAATTATGTAGATACCCGCCTGAATGAGAGGGAAGGTAGAACATGTCATTACATCCTGACACTAGCAATGGTTTGTAGTGACAAAGTTAGATGAAATCGTACTCCAATTTAAAATGAGTGTCAATAAACTTAAAAAGTCTAGTTAACGATAACATACATGTGGTGAAAAAGGCAAATGAACAAAGCGAATATATATCACTTAAAATCTATCGGCAATGTAAAGAAGATTTTAGTCAATAAAGCCCAAACCAAATAGTATACCACCGCTGCACCGCACTGACAATTTCCATGTGAGTACCATATTCTGTACGTTTATTTGCCTCAAAAATGTAACAGTATCTGCATAATATTTAAACAGTATAACAGAGACATGATACCAGGTACATATTCAAAAAGATGCAAGCAAGGCTAATTTAATTGTACCGCCAAGTCATATTATTTTGGATACAAACAAAACAACATAGAATAGCCTACATTACTAACTAATTTAATGTTGCGCTCGCACCGCTGCGTCCAATTAGAAGAAGGTTTGCTACTAGCTTCACAGCGGTCTTACTGTCAGACTGTTGTCACGCCATGGTGATCCGCAGGTCGACATATTTTTCTATTGTTTGTCGCAGTTCATGGCGACTAACATGTTCCAATCATGCGAAAGGCTCGTTGGTGCGACGATCATTCGTGCGTCGTTGAAAAAATAACGAGCGCCGTTCTTACCGGTAAGCACTATTTTTATTCATGGGCACAATGAACATATATATGCTCATTGGTAGACATAACCAAGTGATTTAAAGTTTGTCGTTATCACATCGTTACAATCAAATTAATAGGACGAAGCGGTAATATTCTTTCTTGGTGGTGTGGTCCTATTGTTCCCAAAATAAATAAAAC